TTTCCATACAGAACCCGTGTTTAGGTGTCGGAAATGACACAACGGATCTCCTCGCATACGGGGCAGTGACCCGTGCCCTTATCCCTGTAACATATCTGTTGTAGACCAGAGTTCAACCGTGTATTTCTGGAAGCAATTGATGGCCGACAGATGCAGGGGTCCCCGAATCTGGTTTTCAGACCGAACGAAAGTCCAGACCCAGTTGAAGTTGCCGAGAAGATCAGGTACGGTTCCTCGCTCTCGCGTTGTCTGTCGACTGGCGCCGAATATGTTGGGATGGCTGGAGCAGAAGGTGTACCAAAGGGGAGCGCCGAGGACGTCTCTCAAAAGAAGAGAGGGGCAGTGTAATGCTTTGTTTACGCGACTATCTGACGTTTGGGGGACTTTAGGACTTGTCTGGGCCCTGTGCACGTGGGCTGGCCTTCGGGTTACGCTCAGGCCCATTTCTCCTATTGCTTTCGGAATACATGTATTCAGCCGCACTTATGCCTTCTACTACCCCATTGGAAGCCTCGGGACGCTACACCTTCTCCCACCCTATGGGAAATCTCGGGACACTAAAAGAGTGTTTCAATAAATAAATTCTTATCCCTTGCGAAGCCCGACTCATTGCATTAGAACTATGCATCATGCGCCTTTCATCATTATATAAAATTGGTCTCTTGCAGAGTTTTGAAACACCTCCCCAAGTAGAAAAATGCAGAAAACGAAATCAGACATTATAGCGTCCCGGGGCTTCCAATAGGTTGGGAGAAGGCATATGTGAGGTTGAATACATGTATTCCGAAGACGACAGCTTGGCCCGAAGTCCAGCTTACGTACACAGAGGCCAGACAAATTCTAAAGTGACCGCCAAACGTCTAGTAGTCGCAAAAATAAAGCATTACAAACATAATCCCACATGTTAGAAGATTCGTAGTGTCATTCCCGATATCTGTATAGGGATGTAGTGTGAAGAATTAGACGCAAAACATTTCCAGATCCTTAACGGTGATACCGAATCAGCTGCTAAAAGCTTGTCTGTGGAAAACGAGTGGAAGATGAAATCAGTGGCAAACTCTTTACATATGTGCGCCTTCACCGCATTGTAAGCATATGCCACGGTCTGTGAGTACAAGAGTAAAGGTGTTAAAAATCGGGTTCGCTTTCCACTATCATCAGTGCAGAGTTATGAGATTGTTTGCTAGATAAAAGAGAGCATTAAATCAATATGAAAAATTGTAGCCGAGAGGGAGTAAACAAACAAATCCTGAGGTTGATTAGAAGACCAACCCACGCGTGGGAAGGCAAAACAAATACCAAAGTAGCCACCAGACACTAGTTAGTTGCATGAGCATAATATATACTTTTATTTATAGATATTACTTGGATTCTGTTGCCATTTATTTTATGCGACAAATCGAGCAATTCTCTTTGATTTAACTCGCGGTGCACTTACCTCGCCATTTGAAGGTCATGCTGCTGTGATGTCATTGGCTAGTCGCGATGCGGTCTCTGGACTCACAGGTCGATTTCTGAAATGAGTCGTATTAGCGATGTTCGAACGATTGTTGAGACTGCGAACCAATTTTCAGGTTGTGAACTATTAAACAAGACATTCCACACTGACTCCTATGTAACAATAGATTGTTGTTGCTGCTCCTTCGTAATTAAGTGCTTTTGGCCTCCTGAACTGACACCGAATTACAAAGAAAGGATTTTTTCGATCTTGGAGAAGAATATGAAGGTATGGAGAAGGGTTCGAAAGTTTGTCCTCATTACTTGACAAAGTTATACCAAACATTATGGCACAGTGCTTTGGAACGCTTTTGCATGATTTTAGGAGTTCTACATGAAGTCATCATGGGGATGGAATGGACGTAACAAGTTTCATGAGCTCTTCTCCGCCGAATCCCGTCTCCTACTGTGCTTTTTGACGAGTCTTAAGTCGCATTGTGATTCTGGTCGTCACAACCCATCACTCCATTTCCCGACGTGTTTCGATGAACCCTGTGCCTTTATTCACTTTCGCTTTGAAGTTGACACCCGACGGCCGGTACTCTACTGTTACGAAATTCAGCTATTGGAGGAGGTTCGTGGAATGAAACTCGGTCATAAACTGTTGAATGTTCTATACACAATTGCAGCTAATAACCAAATGACGCGCGTAATGCTGACAGTGTTCAAATTTAACTCCCTGGCACACACCTTCTTCACGAAAAATGGCTTTAAAACAGACATCAGTGACCCATCACTGCATGGACAATCGGTTGACTATTCTATTTTGTCCAGACCTCCCTAATTGACCCATAAAAGTTTTTATTGTTCCGCTAGTTCATTTGTTATCGTGTGTTCGATATTAGAAAGGCTGTTACAGAGCTGTTTTTATGAATTGGTATATTCCAACGTCTCCGTTGCTGTAGCCAACAGCAAAGTGATCTGGTTCTGAGGCACAAATTTTCACCACTTTCCTGCCAGTCGGGAAGTAGCCAACAAGATTTGGCTAAAATGGGAAAAAAGATGTAACTGGGAGTGTTAAGAGAAGGACCAGTGTTATATAACGAGGCCCACCTCTCCAGCGGACTTAGACGGCATCCATTGCAAATAGCGTAGAATTCCATCGGATCCTGCAACAATGACTATGTAGCTACAATTGCGCGCCGACTCTCGATTGTTTTCTGCTGCTGCGAATCCAACAACAGCTTCTCCATTAGGAAGCTGAAAAAATGCAACTGTCAATGACTGCATGGAAGTCGTCGACTTGAGTTGAATGGTAAGCTATCCAAACGGGTAGCGAGCCTTCAGATAGGGGAGTGTAGTCATAAACAATCTCATACCACGTATTCGGAAATGGGAGTGAAGGGATCACTACGCAGGCTGACAAAGGAATCGGTAGGTGAGCCTTTGACCCCAACGTTCTTCCGCATTCCAGAGACCAAGATGTATCTGCAAGAAAGCCACCATGAGCTAAGTTTCACTTCAGTTTGTTGTATGCGTCGTGCTTTTTCGGTGTAAAGTGTAAGATGGCTCTGAGGAATTACGTAGATAAGTGGATTTTAAATAAAACTATCGAAAGAGTTTGTCTTCTTGCTACACAAAAGTTTGTTGTTTATGACGGACACATTTTCCGTTTTGTTATTATTAGGCATCATAGTCTCGTTCCGCATCAATAACCTGAGGCGTAATCGCAATAAATGGGCATTGATTTTTAACACAGATCTTTTAGAAATGGTACCAACTTCCTCAGACGATAGTAGCAAGAACTTACGCTGCAGAACCATTTTTTGGGCAAATCACCTGCAGTCCATTGTAGATTGTCTCATCTTTCTGTTGTGCAGCTGCTAGAGGCTATTATCAACAGATTGGAAATGAATCATGTATTGGCAAGAAGGGATCGAATAAGATAACCTATAATCCATAGACTTAGTCTGGGGGTGAGGATGTTAGAGTAGCCTTCATTTGACTGCAGCAAATAAGCCTACATTTCCTGCAGAATCAAACAGTTCCAATTTGCCATCACAGAGGCCAATATAATGAGCCGTTCCTCCGGAGGTGACACTAAAATTATCAACAGAGGATGAGTTATAAGTGGAGTATCGAAGGTTCACGGCTCACATGGGAAAATAAAAGTTCGGGAAAAAACTTTAACAAGCACAGGAGGAACTGAGGGTAGTACTTCGAGGGAGCCAGGATGGCCTTCCGTAGTGCAGTGCAGTCTTTAAGTTTGTGGAACTCACCTGTAGGTATACGCACACAAAGAGCTTACGATGCCATCCGTAAGCCTAAAATAACAAAAAAAAATAGTGAATAAGACCTCCAGCTGAACTTAAGCTCATGCAAACAATACAATTTAGCTTGGTTGGTGACGCGCGAAACGATGCTAACAAGTTATCCAATCTGGTAAGTGTCATAACGGCTTACAGAGCAGGCTTTGATGGCTCCTCTCCGGATTGTTGATAAATTAGGCAGTGTTTGCCCGTTCCTACCACGAAAGTGGAATTCTCGGGGTTTGGTGTAGGGTGAATTAAAATGATTGAATACAATTCTGTAGCCAGCCAGGTTCTACAAAGAAGCCAAGAGCGGACAAAGTAGCATAAGACACAGGAAATGGAATTTAAAATTGATAACAACTTGTTAGTGTTAATACTACTCAATCGGAGAATACCTTGAATAATCAAACACAAGATCTGAGTCCGTTGATGCAGAAAGTGTCGAAAAGTACACAAAATGATCGATCAACACAAATATTGTTGCATTGCAAATTCTGCTCTCCTCACAAGATACGCTCACTTCCAAATCATTTATGCAGCCATTGGGCAAAAAACCTTCAACGGTTAGTTGACGTCCATCCTTAACACGCCAGACCAAGAGGCAACCGGCATCGGTACCCGCGAAAATGTACCCTTTACTCTCCTTGAGGACCGTTATTGCTCCGCGGCATGAAATCTGAGTTACGTCTGCAGTTTAGAGAAGTAAGTTAAAAAAGCCATGCTCAGAATTTTGCTGTTGGCTGTCGGCCGACGCAACTCGACACTGAGCGCCAACTGTGGCACACAAGTGCCATGAAACAAAGCCATTTGGAGTATTAAATAGATAGGTTTATTAGCTGTAAATGAAATGAAGACCTTACGCCATCAATAGAAAATATCATAAACTTCAAAAAGTAAACCACAATATCTTACGGGATTTGGGTTCTTTGCTGTCTAGCCGCCAAAGGCACACCTCAGCAGGTTGGGAGTCAGAGGTGCATGCAGAGACAAGGGCACCATTCTCTGCGCTCGAGGTCAGATGAATTACACTACAGTCAGTGACATTGGAATGCCCAGCAAAGGCAAGTTCACTACTGGGCAAAAATGGTGAAATGGTGCTCACATCAAAGCTGCCATCGCCGTGAGCACAAGCAACACGGAGGCGGATGAGTGAACGATCTTCCAGCACATCCTTGCCCACCTCATCCTGGTTCTCAAACAATGCTTTCAATTCGCCAAATGTGTCTAAATACGAGCAAAGAATCAAGATATCATTGTAGATTTTTAGTGGGTAGTTTAGAGTAGATTGGTTTGGAGACCCAACCAAATTCTTTCCAAAAGGTTACAAACCACAATTACTCCAAATCAACCGTAGGGCGTAGAGTAAATAAATATTCAGTTAGATCACTTTAATAAATTAAATTATATCATCGTGATGCTACTTGGAACACAGTACGCGCTACTCATCCTATTTGTGTGACTTCTGGCAAGCCTAGAGAGCGATAACAAACATCTCACCTGATTCATCTGACAAGGCTGTGATCATGTCATGCTTAACTGACTCTTCGGAGTAAATGACATCCATCACCACTATTTTAGCGTCAGAAAGTGTGAATTTTCGTAACTTCCGCATGGAAGATACTGTTGCCTCCCAAACCACTACCACTCCATCCACAGACGCCGAGATTAGTGGTCCATCCTAAAACAGCAACAACAGAAGGAGACACATGAGAGGATAGCGACGTGGCCAATATCCGTTAAAGGAAAATCGTGCATCCTTTGAAACCTCAACTTGAATTCAGAGCATGTTTACATCTTTGCAGATAAATATGTACCCACCGCCGAAGCACGATGTTTGTGCTCCTATGGGGATTAGTGTTGGAGTCCCAATTGCTGGTACAAATGATTACTGTCGGAGTGGATAAAAATTCAAGTTCATGATGAATTAGGAATAAAGAGGGACGCATACCTTAAATGAAAATCTGGTCAAAGGTTGGACATGTTCCGTAGCAAAACAGATTTGAGAGAGAGGGTTCATCCCATCCTTCGATTCGGAGTCGAGCACCCACACCCCTACGGCATGATCGTTCCCCCCTGATGCGATTAAGTAACGCCGAGGATCCTCCTGTTTTATCGCAAGGCACGTTATCCAGTCCCGATGGGCTTGAGGCACAGAGTCAATAATAGTGACTGGCTGGAACGACACTTGCTTATCCACTTGATAAATGACAAGACGCTAGAAGCAGTAAAAATGAATTATAAGTAGAACAGACTTTGTAGAAAGATAGGTGATGTGACAGGCAGCATTTTTAATACTAATCGTGACACCATGTTGTGCAACTGAAAATTTCCTAAAGCCAGTGCCAAGTTGCACAAATGAATTGCAGCTTATTGCACAATCGTCGAAATGAAATCCCACAAACACACGAGGTGTTTGCAAGAATACAATCCTCAATGAAAATCTCCACCGACAAGCTCACTGTTCATCAAAATGATTATTCAACAGTCTAAACGGCCTTATTAGTAGTAACCTATACGCTGAAAAACTCAGGACAGCATTTGATTCTGTACTGAATCTTCTCGAAGGATCAAATGAGCATAATTTTGGAGGCGAACCGAGGAATGAAGCACAGGACGCATACATTAATAAACAGTAAGTAGAACCAATGCGAGCAGAATCAAACTAACCCCATCCTTCCCCCCTGAGACGGCAATGTTTGCAGCAGAAGCAAGTGCAGAAACGCCCAAAGAGTGAGCAACTAGCCTGAATTCACTATTTATCGTAGAAGAATGGCAACCTTTGGAACCGAGATCCTGTGGTTGAAACAAATGGAAGCAACACGCTGCATCCCCACCACCAGAGACAGCAAAGCCTTGGGAAACCGAGGCAGTAATGGCGAGTGTCCCACCACCCTCACCGCCTCCACCCTCCTGGTGGCCGTAAGCATGAGGCCAAACAGAGAAGGGCTGTTGGACCTCCCCAACTAACCGATTCAACTTCAAAACACCGTCGATGCATCTTTTTGTTGAAAAAACTGCAAACTATAATGGAGGAATATTAACTAGTCTAATTGAATGTGTACGAGCTTGGCGAGAGTCGAAATAGTTAGACCAAGACATACTGTGACATCCCCACGTGCCGAGCCATAAACAAGAAAGACGAAATTGTCAACGCCACTGTAAAAAAAACAATCGATAGCCTGGATCTTTGAGGCATTATTTTGCGGTGGAGGAAAGAGCTGAACGAGACTCTTTTCTGCGTCGACATTAAAGCAGATGACTCCTCCGTTGTAAGTACCGAAGATCATTATGGACTTTGTTAGGCTGACTCCAATGCATATATCTGAGCTTCTTCCATGGTCCTCAAGTAAAGTATCTAAAGATAAGAGGACCATAGAGGCACGCATATAAATTCATTACTTCAACGCGAAATAGAGTAGCAAAAAAAGAAAAATCTACTCACCAAATTTATGAGGCCGGTCAATATTGTACAGAGAAATTGCTCCAGAGACTGATGTTGAGGAGCCAGTATATGCCAGTAGGCAATCATCGCTTCCCTTTGGCGTGAGAAAACAGAGTCTACTGTAAATGTGCCGAGGAGTCAGGCGGCACGGATCCTCCAGGTGAACAATGCACTCCAAAGTGCTGGCATTAGTGAGAGTCACTTCGCCAACGAAGTCTGCACTCGCGATAACGTCGCTTTTGGGTCCCGAATAGGCGAGTGATACGATTGAAGCATGCAGACCCCGAACACCAGCCCATTTCTCAAAGTAGGCTCCGTCACGGGTCTCCTTTTCCAACCCACCGCATTCAGAGCCCACAAGCAGGACTTCAGCAACCTTTCCATTAAAAAATGACCAACAAATTACACATAAATAAGATGATCCTGATCATAATTAACATCTTAATACTATTATCAACAAATTTAGGTTCCCAATTTTTAGGCGAATACTGTTGAATTGCATCCAAGGTGGCATCAAACTTGCATTTCATCAACTTTTTATTAGTACCAATGTTCCAGCTTATACATCCTAAAGCCCACCGAATGGTGATAATGAACTGAGGCGATAACGTACCTTTCTATCTCGCCTCATGTCCGTTTCGAACACCCACAGAGTTCCGTTCCAGCAACCCACTACAATTTTGTCCTCCACGAGAACCATTGCATTTATTGGTTGATGTTTTGTAGAGAAGGAACGCGGACGTCCCTTAAATGACTCCAGATTATACCCAGAGACAGAGTTAGTCTCACCATTTGAATCGCCATCGAGGGAGAGTTGGATAGGAAATAAATTCACCAGTCCATCAAGACCTGCAGTGACCAAATGCTTTCGTTGAGAGTCCCAGGCACAAGCTGTGATAGCACGATCATGATATCCTGAGATGCGCGCCAATCTCACACCAATCAGACCCCTTTCACCGACGCTTGATGGTACGAGTTTCCACAAACACGCTGTTGAATCCGCAGAGACTGAATAAAGTAGAACACAACGTGTGACCAGAGCATTTGTTTGAGGTGAAATGAAAACAATCCCATTCACAGCGCCGGTGTGTCCATACAGAGTGTTTAACACCTGCAATGAACAAAAAGAGATGCATAATCATACATAAGATGACATCATTGGTACCATGCTTCGACGGAGAGTCATAATACCAGTTACCTTGCCGGATGAAACGTCCAAGAGGATGATACTCCCACTTATGTCACCACAAGCAATAACTTCATTGCCGTCGCTGGCGAGCGCAGTTGGAGAAATGATCGCCTCTGGTCTCCAGACTATTTCCACGTCACGTAGATAATCGGCACTCCAAGTGTTGCAGCGCGATACTCCAAAGCTGCTTTCGACCCCAATAATCCTCTCTAGCTCCTCCTTCAGGGTGGCTTTGCAATAAGCCGGAAGACTATCCAAGAGGAGCTGTCCTGTTAGCTGAGGAAATCTGCAAAGACGTGCAAAAACAGATGAGCGTCTTTTCTGCCTCTAATTATTAATATGGTTCATTAAAGCGATAATTTTCATGACCGTCATCAGCTAGTTGAATGTTGGTAACGTGGAGATAGGTTAAGAAATTCTACATATAATAAACTGTATAGCCGACATGGCATTCACTTACTGGACAGACATCAACTGACCAGAATGGGAAAGGTATTATTTAACTTTGAAACAAGTGATCAGCCTCGCATAAATGATTGCATATAGAGGAGAATTCACTACCACAATCATCGAGACGCACCTAGTCAGGACATGACCAGACCGAAGAACGAAGTGACGGATCGCAGAAAAAATTGTGCCCTTCTGTTTGTCAATAATTCCTAACCAGGCTGTTCTTGTAGCAGGATCACAGATATCTTCATTTAAAAAGTTCAAAAAATTAGCGTTTGTAATTTTCTTCGAAAGCGTGTGAGTGGATCATTCTTCAACTAAATAGGCCTTAGTATAGTGGTACACAAAACAACCTGAAATGGCAACCTCCGCCCTCCAGCAAGGATCACACAATTACTTGAAACATACGATAAATGAAATTGTATCCTTACGCATCATAGGCTAACAAGCAGTAGGTCTTTCACACATAGACAGGGCGAGGATGTGGTACGGCAACACAAAGTCAATCTTAAGCAACACTTAAAATTGATCAACTTAAGTTCAACACTTCTAATTAAATGGCAGCTGCCTAGGCACAAGTAGACATACCAGATCCGAGGAATTCTTCGATTACGCCTGAAATGTCGTTATTCATGGCCTTTTGTTGGATGTAGCTAATACTGCTCAGTGTTGATGCGGCAAAGTTAAGCTTTTTCGCGCGAAACTAAAGTACGAAAATACAACTCTTAAAGGTACATACTTCAGAGGTCAAAATTAATTTAAGGATGTTATTACACTGCCTTGCGTTCACTATTAAATGAATCAAAATTACACTATAAATAAAAACGCTATATTTGTAGGTGAAGTGTCAAAAGCCTATCCAAAAAGTGGGAGGAATAGAGCATATCCCTGGGATTACTGGCAAAGTAGACATTCACTTCCATGACCACGATAAATACTGGAACAGAACAATGATTACGAAGCCAAGTAAAGTGGGATAAACAAAACTTACCGCATAGTATACTTTGTCTTTCAAATTGTCATAGTTTTCGCAAAGCAGCAACCGATAAGTTTGCAATTCTGTGGGGATAGAACTAAGTGGGAGTGGTTCGATGTCGCCCTGGCTACCTACGGTGCTTTTGAGGTAACCCATGCGGCGTGAGGCGGAAAACCGGCTGATGGGCCCACAGGATGAGAAGCACAAACGTCGAATTACATCTGCCACCTCTTGACTGCACAATCGCAGACCCCCAGATGTGAAAAGACTCAGTTCTGACCTCTCCTCAATATCGGTCTCCTCAACCTGATCTGCTATGGATTCCGCAAGGCCACGACCGCTCTCGTCGGTAGACTCCACCCCAATAATAAGAGGTTGGAGCTGTGAAAGAAGAACATTCAAAGCCATTGTGGTAAAAACTGGATGTATCGTTGGGTCGTCTTTTGGAAGTTCCTCCTCATCACCACTGAAAAAAGCAATTGTTTCGGAGGTGGCTTGTTCGCTGTTCGCAGAAAGCCAAATGTTTATCATATGCTGGAGCTGAGTTGGATAGGGTGGATGACGTGAGCAGAGAATACAGCAGAGAGCAGTTTTGACGAGATTCTCTCCACAGCAGACTGATGCCCGCGTCACAATGTGGGCTACGAGATCGGGTAGGTGTTCTGGTAGGCTTTTCAAATTGTTGTCCAGCTTGAAGCGATGGCATGAAAATAAATTTAAAATTGGTTTTTCATTTAAAGGTACTAACTCGACAATATTTCTCAAGTACTACTGGTAAAAAGAATCAAGTCATGATCAATGTATCCGTGTCATCATCAACTTTCCGTAAGTTTCTAAAGACAATAAGTGCCTGATACTTTTAGTCATTTAGAATGCACCATAAATTAGAAGGAAAACGATAATTCAAGTGGTGATGTCATGATTATGGGGGCCATTCTTCAAAGCTTGTATCAAAAACTACGATGAATTAGAAAGCGTGGATGAGAACGTTTTGAGATAAACGTAGATAGAGGACATAAAAAAGCATTAGCGATACTAGTAAAACAGCTTACATTTTCAAAGGTGGAATGCAATCGCAATTCGTCGCAGGCCATTTTTAAGTACAAGGGAAGTCCAGCATCTCGCTTTCTGATTAGTCTTGATAACTAAAGTGAACAATATACAAAATTTTCTCGATAAAAGCCATCACTACATGAGTCAATCTCAGAAATAAAAAGTTGTGCCTTAAGCTTAACGGCAATTGAAGTGTGGACGTAGGTGTTTTCTAAAGTTTGCACGTATGAACAAGCGCAGAAAGAACGCAAGAATGTGTGCATCATGTAAGCAGGAATAAACAGGTCATCTTGCAAAATCACCTGATTGCCAAAGCCACTGTCACTGAGAACTTTGCCATATTGAGCAAAATAGCATCGAATCGCAGCAGCCTTTTCGTTTCGTGAGAGTTCGCTCAGGCGCAGGTAAAGACAATCCGGACGAACCGACAGAGTACGTGCAGTACTTGTTTCACCATTCAATGTCAAAACAAACTTCACGTTCTAAAACACAAAGCAGAGAAAGCGGTGGGGATCGGAAAAATGGTCCACTTCCCATCAGCGACAGAAGCGAATAGTGGTGACTGGAGCGCCCAGTGCTGACAAAAAACACTAGTGCGGTTTGTTAAAATTGATTCAATAAAGCAAAATACAGTCATTACATGCATTTCTTTTACTCACCTCAGGAATGACTTCCGGAATCCAAGTAAGATTTGCAGGTACAAGATGATCCACAGAGTCAACGATGAATATGTAGTGGTTCTTCACGTGTTCTCCAATAATCCATAGTAATTTGTGAAATATTTCTATACTCTTACTAAAAAAAGAGATTAACGTTAGAGAAGTAACTGTGTATGGATGCAGGAACTAGGGTTGGCATCTAAATCATGCAAAAAAGCTGAGCTGTACTGACACAAGCTCAGAGTCTTGAGCGACGTTTACAATTCCCGCTGACTGTAGTTCATTCTCCATAGCGCTTAATTTCTGTTCGAGAGCGGGATTGGGTCCACTGGCGGGCTTTCGCAGTTCATTGAATACATTCATAATCCAGGTGTCAAGCAGTCGCTTCACCTGGGTCATCTGCGGAATAGCGCATAGGAGGAGCCCTGCGTGGCGAGTAGTTGAAGAGTGGGCGCCCATTGTGAGGTGCACGAACACTCGCGAGCGATTTCGAAAGGCATCCGAGACTTCTGTCTTAGGGGTGGAGCGCGAATCAAAGGGAGTTGTGAAGGTTGAGGAGGCAGCCATATCAGGCATCCAGGTGGGATCTGATAAGACAACCGCTAGTGCAGAGACAAGAGTTGTTTTTCCGCTGCCATGAGAACCAATCAAACAGAGCACACCGCCGTCACGCACTAAGGAGTAATAAAAAATAAAACGTTCGACAATATTTTCGTACAATAGACTAGATAATTGGCGTTAAAAAAAGGATATTGGCCAAACTACCTTCTTTGCTCATGTAATAAAGTTGAATCCTATATAACTGAAAAGAAAATTATCTTCGCATCGATGCACAGAATTGCATAGAGTTTGAGACGTACGGATACGCTCCTCGCGCCTTCTTTTTAAACTAGTAGCCGAGATCAGTTGAGTGAGACAAGCATTCCGATGTTTACCAGCCGCTTCCAGCCGAGAGAGACGAACTTGAGCGCCTCGGATGGGGAGATCAACAAAGAGGGCGTGAAGGACCTCCTGAAGATGTCGTGGGGCAACAGAAGCAGCAATCGCTTCCAGATAACCAGTTGGCACGGAAGAGCCACATTGCCGAATCTCACCGTCTTCAAACGAGGGCTTAAAAACGGGTAAAATAGCACACTTCGACTAGTAGCTTTCTGATTAAAAATGACACTAATAATAATAATGGTTGAGTTAATAGCTTTTCGCAGGTCTTACAAGAGTCATTCTAACTCATCATTACTAAATCATTTCACACCCGTCTAATACACGATGGTGAATATAGACAATGAGCGACTTTATTAAAGCCCTAGCCCACTTGTACCGATCGAAAATATGCCCAAATCACAAGTAACAATAAATAGTTAATATCATACATCACTTGGGACATTTTTGACGAATGCACAACAATTTTGAGCGGCTACCATGTGAGAGGAGGAGGTGGTACGCACGCAACCTGGTTGTTTTGGCAACTATAGTTTACGGCGCGAGGGCAACAGAGGTTACATCATGTAGTCACATCCCTGTGTAATTTCATCGCGCGGAACAGAAAAGCAGCTCCTGGGTTCAACAACATTCTTACTAATTCGATTAAGAGCAGGTTCACTGATGAGGTTGAGGAGCTTCAGCCTAACTCATGAAGCGACAGTGGTCTTAGCACTGGTTTTAGCGAACGCCCTCTTTACAGTGAATCAGAGGCTTCGGACTGCCAAAAGTGCTGATCGTTTGATAGGCTTAAGTGAGAGGAGCACCAACTTCTTCTTCTTCTTCAGTTTTGATAAGAAGGTTGAGGAAGTGGCGAATTATTAACCAATTCTTGAAAATAAGGGTAAGTAAATTGTTTACCAAAACAGAGGGATGCGACCGGACCCACTCACAGATCGAAGTGTAAAGGCTTTTGAATAGTGCCTCTCCCAAAGTCCCGAGGTTACCCATCATAGGCACGGCATTAATTATGCCTGCGAAAGAAGCAGGGTATCTACGAAAAACGGTATAAACAGGGGTAGCGAATCAGCGATAGCGCAGGTTGCAAAGGTGAGGCATTTACTTACGAGTTTAGCAGTATAAGACCATTTTCCTTTAGAAATTGTTTGAACTCCAACAGTCTTTCACGATCTCTTTGCGAAGACTGTAGGAAATGACTTTTGAGATCCGAAGGCACATCTCTAAATACGAAAAGATTTGTAGGCGCTGAAATGTATTTATAAACGTCCACATTTTCACTTTCTGTTACCCTGATGAGAAACTTACTCTAAGCAAGAAGAATCACGCAAAAAACAAAGAAGGTTTTTTCTTTTCATACAGTTCTGCTGGATAAACAAACGAGCTTCCATTTCTGTAATTGACATGCCCTTCTTGTAAATTTTCATCACCTGTCCCAAGAGCTTTGGAGGAAGTGCCTGTACGACCTCTTCACTAGGCGTCCAACCATACCTAAAACACGAAACAATTTTCAGCTTCACCTACCGCCTCTTTGAATAAGAATTCCATTAATGCCAATTTCGCTTTTCTTTCATACTACATTTCATTTCTAAAACGTCCAAAAAACTAAGGAAAAGAAACGCACTGATCATTACGTCTGAATGCGGAAAACAGTGGAGTTAGAAATAAAAATGCATAGAATCGTGAACGCATGAAGAACTCAAAATTCGTCAAAGTGTAACAAGCGCAACATACTCGTTAAATATAGGGGAATAAGCAGCGTACCTTTCACCAAGAAGCAAAATAAGGTAGTCAGATGTGACCACCTTTTCTAGGCACATTCGTAGACTTTCCCCGGTCTGTGAAAAGACCTCAGGCACACCCCAGCGGAGGTCAATTTCATTAAGGAGTACTGGATAGTCGAGACGAGAAAGCTGTTTGCGGAGGCCGGGAAAGACAAGGCCGGAGATAAGGTCCCGCTCGCCGTACATGTCTTGGAAGGTAGAGGAGACGAAGACCTGCACAGCGGCTATTCCACTACCGAGAAGAAAGTTCGCCGGCAACTCAATGCTCGTTTGACAGGTTTTTGAAACGACAGTGGACGGATGGCGACTAATGTAAGTTTTGGAGGAGAGATCCAACTGACGATCTACCATTTCGACCTGCTTCACAAGGGATTGGTTTGCCATGTGTGCCAATATTTGAATGCAAGAGTCAGAGTAGTCCTGAAGTGACATCCAGTCATTTGCCACACAAAGCTTGTCGCAGCTGGAAGGTATTTTTGAAACACGTTAATAAAACCAAAATCCAATCATAATCACTAAGCATACCTCAGCTGTGTCGACCTTTAACCACATACGTTAGTATCAGATAGTACATATCCGTAGTAAATGATAGTTATGCTAGAGAATGCAATCAATTTACTCTATAGTAAGGTTTGCTTCTGGAGGCTGCAAATGAGACCGCAAACAGGAGAACTTACACAGCAATGCCGTGAATAAAGCCCACGTGTCTACTGTAGACCTCTTTCCATTTCTTGTACTTTTCCGCAAGGTTGCCAAGAACAACCATGGAAGTGTACTACAAGAAATAACGAAAATCACAAATACAAACCTATCAAGAGAGTAACTCACTTTCTTCCTGGTCGTTAAAATCTGTCCAAAGACTTGATCAGGATTTGTTTCTGGGAGCTTTGAATAACGTAAACACTGGTTAGTGTTTGCAAAACGTTTTACCTTTATACAGAGCCCTGCATATGAACTTACTGTAGGGCCAATAGGATTAAGCGTATCAGGATCCTTTGGTGGGTTCTACAACGTGACGCATCAAGGAAGACAGAGATTCGGGAATCAATGTTAGTGTGAGAATTTAGCAAGGCTTTCATAGAGCCCACACTAATGACATAAATGCAAAGAAGTCGCAGACGAATTGAAATGTTTGAGGCAAGTCCAAAGAATTGCTTATTAAGAGTGTTTGCAACGGTATTTTTCAGTATGTAAAACGTATCATTAAATAACAAATGCATAACAATCAATGCGTTACCTTCAGAATGCTGGAAACTCTTTTGACAGTTTCAAGTATGGCACCATCCCCGGGCATGAGTGAAGCAAAAAACTTTGAATTATAAACGAGTTCGGATGATAATTGAAAGAGGACATCATAGTCTTCACAAACTGCCATGCACATAAAAGCCAGCAACAATTGAGACGAAACGCGCTGGAGAGATTTGGATGATAAAAGTGGCAAACATTAGCATAGATCACACGAGAAATCGTTTTAGCTAAATCAACGGCTCAAGCTTACATCGGTTCCAACATCCAAGTCGGATGAAAAACCCTCCTGTAAGTTCACAATGATCAGAGTGGATCCAGACACTGTTGGAAGATTTAGATGAATGGCGAGATCAAATGCTCTTTCAACTGCATCCTCGAAAGTCTTCACATTGTCAATGTCAAGTCTGCAAAAAATTGGTCCCGCGCACAATAAACCTGCACAAAAGTACTATAATACTCCAAGTTCATATAGCCAAAATGTGTCCAATAGGTCAATTATATAAGCCAATATTCCAATAGATTCTCTAATTTACCAGAAGTTTAAAACGTAAAGATGCTTTCTAAACTTCGTTGCGACTATACAATAAACCCAATGAGTCCATGTAATTACTATGCAGAACAGAAGCGGCAAAATGATAAAATCCTGGAATTATAATCACTAGGGTTATTATCACCCACTTGCTTAACCGTTCCATCCTCATTTTTTCCTTTCTTCGTCCTAAAAGCATCAAAAACTAGGATAGTCAAGATTCCCAACCAAACCAACTGTTAAATTTAACTAAGAGTAGATTGAAAAGAAAGCTGTGCTTAGAAAACGCAACAAAATAACGCTCACTCCTGCCACTTCCGATTTTCGTTTCCAAAAGCATCCCCAAGGTGTTTTTATCGTGACGAAGTTCTTCAAGGGCAGCGAAAGCACTCAAGTATCTAAACGGCAGTTGTTTCGACGATGCAACCTCGCCCTATTGTTTAAAGGAACAACGATGCATTAGCGACTCAAGGTCTATGCAACCACAACAGTCGAAGTAACTCACTTCATTTGTCAATTTGTGAAGCACCTTTTCCATATGAGCTTTGTCAATGCCAACCAAAAGGAGGTTACGAAGGTTGCGCAATGTAGCCATGTAGGGAAGTTTTCCAGAGTCTTTAAGGAAAACGCGTGCTCGAGTGAAGCACTTAACTTTAAGACCAACCTTAGTAAGTATACAAGTTAAGAGTACTAGTAAATCGGTAAAATTTTAAGCATAGAAAGAAGTCCCATAAGTGGTCAATTGTGTAGTTGAAAAGACCCATCAAAACAACAAATTTTACCAATGAGATTATGCCAAGCAACGAGTTGGGCCTCCACTGGAGTCTTTGAAAGTTCTGTCTCCCAAGTATATGGCACAGGCAAACGCATGCGAGTTCCAGCAATATAGGGATCCCAATCACCAGAAAGACCACTCTCGATAAAATCTGAGATAGTCATGGGGTAAGTTTTGCCCAAAAGGCTCATGACAGCGTAAACGGGCTGAGATATATGCAAAAGTCGGATCATCTTCTTTAATGACAGTGTAAAAGAGGACGTCTTGTTATTTCGACGTCTGCCCCTGTTCTTTTTTGTTTCAGTCACTTCTCTGTTGTATTTTGCTAAAAGCAATCAAACACCTAGTAACGACCACGTACCAAGCTGATATTGATCAAAATCTTTAAATTTTTCCACCATCACGCGTCTTAGGGCGTTTGGCAAAGAGAGCTTCTTTGAGGGATGGAAAGTCTAGAAATGAAGTTAGATAAAAAAACCGAACCTTATAAATTTCAACTATTTTGAGCCAATCAGAAGGAAGGCCAACAGTAGCAGAATAGTATTTTGACAAATAAGGCCGACAAGCGGAGGAGTTAGCAGCAAAGGCGACAATAAAATTCGTTGTGTATCTAATGTTCAATACTTTTCGGCAATAAACTGCAGTCTAAAAAAGTGTGAAACAGGAATCCAACACACCTTTAAAATAAATTCGGGGTCATGCCTCTCCACACCTTTGAGTAATGCAATAAGTCTCAGCCTATTCGCGAATATTGAAGGTGAGTTTCGAGGATTCAAAGAGGACATAACGCAGCATATTAAGGCAAACTGGAAAACAGGTAAAAACGGTATGCAATACCTTAGCCTCAGTTATGTCAGCAGGTGCCGCCTTGCATTCAACAATGTCTGCTGATTTCTTTGGAAGACCTCCAAGTTCTTGGAACGTCATGTCAGCAGGGGTCGAGAAGGTACACTCTCTCTTTGGAAAAAGAGCCGAGAAATTTTGGCTAAGATTCTCATGTTCTTTTTCGTCTGCGGACATTTTTCGCAATTTAGCGGGCGCAGAATCCTCAACTTTAGCACTAACACCTCCATTAGTGTCGAGGAGGTTAAGGGATGAATCAAGAAGTCGATTATCAGTCGAAGTTAAACTCGACTGAACGCTAATAGACATGCCGCTTAAAGCCAAAACGCCCAAAGGCATCATATATTAAGACACAGGAACGCTGAACTATTTATAGACGTAGCAGCGTATACGCCGATTAAAACAAGTACTTTTTAAGGAAGGTTATTGCTATGAATCACATTTAAAAATAATTAGTTTTACTTTTGCTTAACCAAATAATGCACCTTTTATTGTGTGATCCTAATTAGAGACTTATCTTTAATTTTATTGCATAATAATTAATAAAACAACTTCTTTATGATGGATACAATTTAGAGTCTGCACAATTATGCAAGGCCATGACGCAAATTCTAAAAAAGCAGATGGCAAATAGAGCTTTTCCTGCAGATTTCTACACCCAGCGATGTTAGATGTACAATAGAGGGAAAATCCTCGCCACACAGCCTTCTCAACACTACAGACACATGCCGCAAATGCTAAACCGCGCAAGTCACGTTTTTGAACTTCCAATTCCGTAATGTAAGCTAGAGGAGCTGGTGCAACGCTTGTATTCGAACAAGAAGGACAAAAGTTTGACCTTGTCAGAGCTCGAGGGCCGACCCACACGAGAGGATCAAAATGGCGACTAATGTGCTTGTCACCCGTACAAGCATTGCAGCCAAAGCAATCACGAAGGCGTTCATCTGACCGGAGGAACGCTTCAGTCTACTTGGGCACTGCTCAATACTAGGTTTGACTTTTTACTACTAATCTCAAATTTTGTATCCTGACAGTAACTTATCATAATTACCAATCTCTGACATACTTCAATAAACCAGGGGATGTGCAAGCAATGCATTAATGCGGCAAATTCGTCCCCTTGATCGGTTTTGTAGGTCAGTGAAGTATAGCGGCAGACGTTGTACTAGAATTGGGATTGACGCTTCTTGGGTCCTGCTCTCAGTACGATTTCCTCCCAACTTCCATAGTGCTGATTTCGCTCTCCTGCGATGCCAAGATGCGTGAAAACAAACAAACAAACAACAAACAAACAAAACGTCAGGGAGGTCTTGGCGATGACGACATTGGGCTTACGGTGTACAAGGTACCTCTATTGAATCACAGTCACGTTATTGTTCGAAGCTTGTGCAATAATTCTCACTCGATCAATCTCCTCAATCGCCTGAGCCCTGTAAATTGATTATCATCGTCCCTACCTAGCAAGTTGGCGTTCCGCAAAATCTCTGAATCTCCAGGAATTTTTGTCGCTTCCCTTCTCGCGAGTCAAATTTACAAGGAAATCCGCAATCTGAGTATCAATAAGTGACAACGCGAACCTCACAGAACTTAGTGAAGCTTATAACTGTCCCAACCCCCTGCGCTTTTATAATGGATCCTGCGTACCCACAGCGCTCTAACTCTGGAGAGAAGCTAGGAATGCCTGCATCACATCACCCACCATCTCAGAGTACTGAGAGCCTCCAAATACTATTAAAACCCAAGAGGCCACCGACTTTTGTGTCATTTTTGCTGACCATTTACTTAGCATTTGCGCCTTCTAGCCGTATCAGTAGTCTCAAGTGAAACACAATTTACATATTTTCTTTAAGTACCGGCATTTCGATAATAAGAAAGACTAAATACTTGGAACAAACCTCTATGCACACAATTTTGCAACACTGAGGTTCAGCCCCATCCTAGGCTCCAAATGCAGGATCCATATCAGAAGCCATGGGAGAGGGTGTAGTTGACTCTGAGGTAGATGAGGAGGAAAAGGTTGACAAGCTGGTGTTCTCTCCCCCGTCACCTCCACTGATGCGATCTGTCGTAGGCTCTACCACTTCTCCAAGATGACCGTGACCGTTGGTCCCTTCATCGTCGCTGCTATCATCGCTCATGCCGGTTGAATGGCGGCGGCGGAGGAAATCTGTCATACGGTGGCTAGCGATATCGTATGTCACTTGCAACGCCGGACGCTGCAGTTGCAGAAAATAAAAAAAGGTGATAGAATAATTAAGAGTGAATAAGAATTAAATTTAGGAGGCCACTATATGTGGGCCGTTCACAATCAGGAATAGACCCGAAAATCTTGCATTTGAAGTTGATTTGGATTCTGCGTTTGGGTATATTATTGACGGCTACTTCTGTACAGATTACAGTGGAATCGATCACGGACTGTTTTCAGTTCGAACAAAATAAAAAAAAGTAGAATAAGCACCCAGATGCGTATAGTGGCAAAGCTCAAGTAAAGCACATGCTGCGTAGGCAGTACAAACATCAAAAGTCTCGATAATATTAAATGCTACACATATTTATGAATGAAGTTGCCCAAAAAACTAATATTACACAAGAGTAAATAAGAAGTTGAAAGCCAGAGAGGTGATGACTATATGTTCTGCTGCTGTTAGTCGTTTTCAGCAATTGATAGAGCTACCATAAAGCAATCGTATTATTGCAAAAGTAAACCGAATCGCAAAATGCATAGTCACGTAAGTGAACAGTAAAGAGATACACCCTGATCAATCAGCGTGCCACACCATAACTATGGAGACGTAAGATAGTGTTAGTAAGTTGGCTAGTGGTTGTAAGAGCGAGTGGACTGAGCAATCAACCAAAAGCACTAGGCACATCCCAGCAATGGGGAACTTAGTACATTATATCAGGCAGTAAAGCAATGCAACAAATTCGGTCGAATTTCGCAAACCATGGAGCAGAAAGCGCAAAGCACTTCTCTGGCGATCGCATTTTAGAAAATTGTAGGGAGGTAATGATTGTGAAAACGTACCAAAAATTCAGGAAGGCCGAACGCAAAAGTAACTGTTAGTGAATCACGATTTCTTCTTGCCCAATTGGCTGCAACCCGCTAAAACACGAAAGTAATTGAGAACGGAATACTGCAAATCGATGCAACTCACCAACTCCTTACCAGTTGCAGATCCTTTAGGTTAAAAGGCAAGTGTTTTTGAGGAGCTGATGCGATCGAGAGCTTGCTACGTTTATCATCATTGAACGAATCTTGGACTTTCTTATAACGCTTGGAAGACTTGATTGATACTGAGTCATTGTCATTTTCAAATTCTGAAGACTTCCTTTTACGTTGAATAGTATTTTTCATGTCTTCGTCGTCGTTGGCACTATCAATACCGTCAACAATAGGAGAAAGGTCATCATCTGAGGGCTGGAAGTCCTCGGTTTCACCGAAAAGGTATTTCGCGAGGTTAGAACGTCGAAGCGATTGCATAGACTCTATTATCTCTCCGGGATCAAAAAGAAGACGCTGACTAGACTCTTCAGCTTTTATGCTTTTTAGCCAGGTTTCCGGACGGCTGATGCTGCCCCGCTGACCTATAGGAGTCCAGATCTTAACGAATGCCAAAATAAAAAAACATTTGCCAAAATATCACCAAACACAACAAAAAACATGGAACAGTAAGTAATAAGGAATCTCGCTAATTGTAAGCAACTCAATGGTTTAGTGATGAATTTTGCAAAAATAAGAGAACGAGTTCCAATACAGCAGTAATGAATGTGAAAGAATGAAAATGAAAAATGCTTATCTATAATACATTTGAAGCTGGTTGATAGCATAAAGGGCAGATAAAACAATGATGTCCACCTTGACATTATAATCGCAGCCAGAGGTAGCAAGCATGGGGCAGAACGGATGTGGTTCCAGAACGTTTACGGCACCAGAGATGTCTCCACAAAGCCATTGAACAATGCCTTCTGAGTGACGATCCCAGATGTATATGAAGCCATCATCACTGCCACTTACGATAAACTCCGAATTGGGGCCGTAGAAGTTGACGCCTTTCACTGTTTTGCAAGACAAACAATGCAGCGTTCAACCATACAATAGAGAACAACTATCAGGCTGCGAAATTAATATAAAAGGCTACTTATTTATAATAAGTAGATAAGAGAGCGAACCAGAGTCATTATTTCGGTGGCCTCGGTAGACATGAAGGGGCGGAAGCTTGTCATCTTGCGAATGGAAAAGATAGATGTCCTCGTCATTAAAGGATGCGAGAATAGCTGAAAAGGAAATTGGATTTTTAGATCATAACTGCGGAGAAAAATATTCAGCGAACGGGTACGACTGACCATCGCCGTTGGAACTATACACGGCAGAAGTGATGCTATATTTAGTTTGCGAATGGTCCCCGAGAGGATTAACATGATCATTTAGTCGGACCGGTCGACTCCGAGACCAACGCATTTGATCGAAATGGCTCTCAGTTGTGTCACCACGGGGTTCTGGGGGTGAGGGAGCCCGATTGCGACTTCGCAAGTCATCACGTAAGAGTCCTAGCAGCTGACGGCCCAGGCGTGAAGAGAAAAAACCTTCTTCGGCGAAATCATTTTCGAAATTGTCAATTCTATCAGCACAATCACTAGTCTCACTGTCGTCGGACACATTGTCAGTACGAGTTTCGTCAGTCATACAATCCACCTCATCGTCAGCCTCGGGGGAATCAAAACGGCAGCAACGTCGGCGCTGCCATCTCGAGAGGAGATGACGGGGGGCAAATGAATGAAGATATCCATCTTTGGGCGATGTTACTGATACCTTTCGTCGATCAAACACTCTATAGATTGATACAAGAAGGCCAGACAATCGGTAGTTAAATCAAAGTTTTGCCATTGAATTTATTCTTGTGAGTATTTTAAAATTATTCAATAGTCACATTCACAAACTGACCTGACAACTGACTCGTACTTCCCTGAAACACAAAACTCCACCGGTCTGGCTGGATTGGCTGATATGGAGTAGAAAGGTGACAAAGGCAAATGAAGTAATCTAGAAAATTGAAGAACTGTTCGCAATTTCAAGCATAGTGTGGAAAAATGATGTCAGAAAAATAAGTTAAAAGTTTGAATTCAAAGCCAAAAGAAAATATAAATTAATATGTACTAGCTAGACTAGAAGGTAACCTACTGTTCAGGTTGGTCAGAGCGAAGATCAACGGAGAAAACAGCGCCATCCTCTCCAGCTGTAAGGATAAGGAAGGGCTCGCCAGGAATGAGAACAAGGTTGCGACAAGTATCCTGGTGACTGATAAGAGTGCGCGTCGTCTTTACTGTCCGGCCATCTGGGTGAAGTTCAGCCAGACGCACCATACCGTCACGAGCGGATGTAACCAACTTCAAATCATTGCAATTCGGCACGAATTTTACCTAACACAAAGACGATTTCTGAAACTTCTTGACCTCAATGCGTCCATCGTATGAAGATCAATTTGACTACTCTCAAAAAATTGACAAAGAAGTAGGGCTATCATGGACGACGGCAAATTCAAGAATTTCCATTTTATTTACAGAACACAATATTCTAATCACTTTAAGTGGTTATAAATTAAAGGGATGACGAGCAGATAACTCCGTCTTAATATTAGTGCACAGACAACAGAGATAAATGCAATGAGAAGAGTCCGTGTATTTACACCCAAGGCTGAAATGGGCAACCCTATTAGATAGAGGAAGTTACCTGAAATACATTCAGAGTATGACCAGTGAGGAACCGAGTCTTCAGTTCGCCGGTATATGAATCGGCTATTACCACACATGTATCATCGGAAGCAGAAGCAATCAAGTGACCAGAATGGTTAAAATTCAACGCGTTGACGCAGCCCGCATGGTGCTAGGGTGACAATATGGTTAGAAAAAGCGTAATCCAACTGTAATCGGACTTTGATATTACCATGTCGCCCAAGACTAAGCACTACTAAAAAATAGTTCAAAAATCAAAATAAAGTTGACAGAATACTCAGATGTAACTTAGGATAAAGCCCTGAGATATAATTACTCGAAGCTACTATAGATAAGAAAATGCGAGAGCATAAGTACCTCAGCTAAGGTGCAATACTGTAGCCGAGGCAGTTAATAACAAATAATTCACCTGCCTTCAGGGATAGAAGAAATCTAACCTGATAAACAGCCGAAAGTCCGAATGATGACACGCTCCAAAGACTTCCCTGGATATGCTGCTGGAAGCTCCGATTCAATGGCCACCTGGGAAGTTTATCTTGAGCATTGATTGTAGAAGGCCCACTTGCGTAGAAGTCACGAAGTCGGTAATAGCGGGGAGAGGGCCCACAATCACCCTGTTCTCTTGCGACGAGGAGTGAGATGGGCGAAAAGTAGGTTGGGTACCCTACGCATGCATATTTTAAGGGTGACCCAGGTCTAGATGTGCTCTTGTAGCCCCGTCCAAAACCAAATGCAGACAAAGGTGAAATATTTTCACCAATATCAAGAGCGCTTCCGATTCTCAAATCTGAGACAAGTTTACTCTGAGAAACAGTAAAATCGAAGGAGATAAGGGCATAAAATTGCAATAAGAGAATGAGTAAAATATACTCCAAATGAGGGAACAAGCACTAATACCTTGGCCATCTCACATTCTTCCTGTGTAGCGTGCAAGGGACGTCGAGACTCTGAGAGTACTAAACAAATTATTCAAAAAATAGGTCTGACGCACTATAAGCACCCAAATTATCAATATCATCGACAAAACTACCAGACCAATCTAGAAAATGAACGAAATACCAAGTTACTACCACTACCCATCCCGTCTTCTTCGCCCATCTATCCAGCCTGATTAACCAAGGGGCTAGTAGTCGGACTAGTTACAACCTATTTCTAGCAGCCAATTAACGCTTTGTTAAGAGACATGAAGAAATGCGTTATTAAAATACTGGATCTCTTGTACACTGTTGAGTAATGCAGTCATCATTTACTTAAGGCTATAATTTTCGTTCCAAAGTACACAAAACGATGTTGTCTTCTTTAACGAAATATGTACAATCAGTTGTTCCAGATACCGTCACGCAGGTGAATAATAAGAATCTCTCGAAACTAGGTTTCTTAAGATTTTAGAAACTATCTATACTCCTAATTGTCATCAACTTTTGCAACACGTTCGGTATTGTGAATTTTGTTGTGATATTGCTCCTCGTTTAAGCGACACAAGCAGATGTAGAAAATTTGCGGCACATTAGCTGTCGAATTGATTGAGGGGACGTATTGCCTCCACTAAGTGAGATTGTAGGATCTCCCCATGACAGCTCCTTTCCTACCCTCCTGCCCTTAAAACTTGGACTTCAAGAGAGGACTGGTTGCAAAGGATTTATTTGGCATTTGTTACGGGAAGAATGGAGATTGGGATGCAGATGAGCCAAATAGGAGATATCAACTGGAGAGAAACTCCTCACCATCTTCGCGCACGTGATTCACGTCCTCGATTGGTTCCCGCCTCTCTCCTTTAGAAGTCCGCTTAAACAAACTGGTATACATTACAAGTCCAGCCTACTCGAAAGCACTTGAACCTCTCACCTCATAGGAGGGTTTATTAAACATCCCTTGCAGAATAGAAGGGGATGTGGGTATGGATAAGACGACGCTCCAGTGTTACGCCACGGAAGGATCCTCGCGTTCTCCAAGCATGCAGTTCATGCTCGAATTAGCCAACCTCCTCTATAAGGATAACTTAAGCAAAGTAGTATAAACACCAAAATGTTGATTTCCATGCCATAAAAAGACGATCAATCCATTTTGTGTGAACATATACACATACTTTATCGTTCTGAGACTTTTCCTAGGGTGGGAGAAGGCAGTGAGTGAGGTTGGATACATGTATTTCGAAGACGACAGAGCAGATGGACCTGAACATGGCCCGAAGTTAAGTCCACATGTAAAGAAGACAGACAAATTCTAAAGTGACCGCCGAATGTCAGATAGTCACATAAACAACGCTTTACACGTACAACCCGGGCACCGTTCCCTTTCGCCAATATCTACCATTCTTTGTACGTCTTTCAAAATAGACTTTTCTTAATGGTAGCACAATGCGCGGCATTTATTGATATTCTGGTTCTGATTATAAAAGTCGAAATGTTTGGCGTAAAGCGCTTTCTATGCAACATACGCCTCCCCCCTTTCCCCTTCCAACACATCTATTTGGCATATGTTAATTAAAATCTAAGTAAATCTTCGTCCGGTAAACATCGATCATATCGAGGAATATGCACACATTACCCAGAAGTTAAACAAATTTTCGATCCAGCCATTGTACCGTGATTTCCCATGGGCCTCTGAGAAGCGTAACTGATGCGATTTAGAAGTTGGACGAAAAGTTGCCTCAATTTGTTTGCACCGGTATGCAGCAAGCACAGAGTAGACGCCTTTCCCCTTGTGTCCAGTACTAATTGATCAAAGTGGTTTTGTACCTACCGGGCACACCTAATATACCGATAAGGGGTGACAAGTCAGATCCCGACAGATCAAGATCAGACCTGTACGGCTTCTTGGCGGTAGAGAACTAACCGTGGCCTGGTTACGTCTTCAAGTTAAAGGCACTCGCCAAAATCTTCGACACATAAAGCTGCTCCGATCTTAATCATAAACAGCGAGTAGACTCAAGATGTGTCAAGAGTACTAATAACAAGTGCCTTAGTAGTCGCTAACACTTCGTTTAAACTACCTAAAAGTTTGGATTAAGTTGTTTATTTTGGCCTGCTTTGGGTGTCAGGCATACATCCTGCCCAGAAGCAAGAGAATGGATGTGCTGCTTTGTCATCGTCCCATTTCTACGCGAACGCATCAAAACCCAAATAGAACCCACTTTGTTCACAAGTAAATAGACTCAAAACCGGAATTACGAATACCGGTGGAAGTATGTAGAAAAAGTTGAACTGCAAACAGCGATGTGGCCCAATGAATGAGAAAAAGTCTCGATTGTTCAAGTTGCGTCACCACTTTCCCTCTCATTCGTCTGGTAGAAATCAACTGAGGAAGTGCGGTGCTCCTCGCATTTCTCTTCACCACCTACATCACTTCCACCCGTCACTTCACTTGAGTACTCCCCTTCAGAGGCCTCACTCTCCACCTCCGTAGCCTCAATCTCATTTACATCATCTGATCGTCGACTGCGCATCATCACAGAAAGTAGCTCTTCTTCCTTGCAGCGCAAGAGGAGGTGAGAGAGCTCATGTTGCAATCGCAGCTGTTCCTGCACGCATGAGGAAACTTCATTCGAAGTCTCATACCGTCGATGCTCCTCCTCGGCGAGACGGCGCTCCGCCCTCTCCTTGTCCTCTAGGGCCTCACGCAGACTGCGTGTGAGACCGCGCGCATTCTGACGTTCCGACTGCACTGTTGCCAGCAGCTTCTCACGCTCTGCCATCAGCTGCTCTAGTTGACTCTTCAGTCGTTCCACGGTCGACTGCAGGCGTTGCTTTGTTGACGTTTCTAGTTCAAGTCGACCCTCCAACTCGTGCACTTTGGCCTTCTGATAGACTAGCTCCATATCAGCAGCCTAGAGTGTAATTTAAACAAGTTTTGTATGCACAAAAAAGCTAAATTTACAATAGTTTAGATTCGGAAAACAGTATGAAGTAAAATTAAAAAAAAACATGGAAAAGAGGAGAGGTAGTTAAAACGGAAGGGAGAAGAGCGAGAGGAAGACGACAATGTGGTAGCAACAAAACTGACTCCAGTCTTTTCGGTGGTGGCCGCAACGAGGCGCTCTTGCAGATGAGCGATTTCCTCGCGCATGGCGTTGCGCTCCTCCATGAGTTGGGTCACCTCTCCAGCATAAGGATTGAAGTTAGGCGTGGCAGGGCATGTGAGGGCAGAGCGGCGTTGCTTCCTGTTGGCCTCCTCCAACTCCTCTTCAAGTTCTTCCACTCGACACTGCAAATCACTGTTTTGCCGGTGTGCTGTCTGGCAGCGTAACTCTGCCTACGTATAAAACATCAAGTTGCGTAAGGCTACCGTACAAAGTTCCAATTACCACTATTTCGTGTCACGGCTTCACCGTTGAAAATGATCGAGAATAACATGATACAATGTTCATATGAGTTTGTTGGCTCGAATCTACTCCGTTTCTGTTGCCACATGCTTCTTGGTTTCACAGCTATGGAAAAAACTTGACCATACTAAAAGTAGCCATTAAATATTGAGAAGATGCAATAAACGTGATGTTACGGGAAAAACGTACAGCGTGTTTATCACGTTTTTCCTGATTCAATTGCTGTTGACATTCCTCAAGATCAGCCATGAGAATTCGCTGTTTACGCAAAAGAAGTTCCTTAGATTCCTCTGTTTCTTCTAACTGAAAGGGAAAAATACGTACGGACTGATTATCAACTCTTCTCAAAAACAAATTTTGGGCTACTCGATTTGATCCAAATCTTGTTTTAACTTGATCAATGGCCACGGACCAAACATATCTCAATCCACAAATGAGAAAAAAAGGTAGATAAAAATAACACTGGATACAATTCACCTGGAATCGTAGTTGCTTTATTAATCCACGATCAGCTGGAGTTAGCGACAGTAGTTGCTCCCAGGGAAAGTTGCTGTTTGTTGTGTTGAATACGAAATTGTACGTATCAGCCGATTCTAGGATTAAAATGATCTTAAAGAGTCAAACACGAATGTATTTGAAAAAATTGTACTGAACAAGTAAATTAAGAAGGTATTTTGAAATGCTTGGGACTTCCGCGATTCAATCTAGTAGGTTGTGTCAATGCCAGGAGCATAGCACAATGCTGTCAACAAACCCAATAGCCAACCATTACTAACAGATAAATTAACGGTGCACAACACCCAAATCTGGTAGGTCCGCCTTAAAGTCATCCAATTTCCTACTTTTGGTGATGAAGACTAGGAGTTGTCTTAGTCACTACGAGAGCGTGTAAACATCGTCATATCTGACGGCTTTTATTGCCTCCCTCAAAGAAATTCCTCAATCGGAATCCTCCAATGTCAGGATGCTGGTTGAGTAACGCTACTAGAAATAACTAGAAAGTCCCACATACAATTACAGCTTGTGTATGAGTAAATTTTAGTGTTTTGATAAACCATTCTAGCGAGCAAGCGTGAACTCATAATGGACCCCTTTAATGGAATGAATCAAAGGAGGAAATCTGCAAACCCAATCAGAGAACGTCATGATAAACTTTGTGCTTTCGTGAAGATTTCTGACTAACAGAAAGGATCATCATGACATAAATATAACGGTTCTCTCTTCTCTTCATCCAAACTCTAGTAGTGTCAAACTGAATGTAAGAACACTATCATAAACGAAGATGTGGCAATCGAATTGCTTTAAAATCAATAGAGCATCAAAAAAACAGCGGCAGTCAAAAGGAGAAACCAATCACCATTAACGGTATGAGTAGCCACAGTATCGGATTGTAGATTCGCACTGGCTTCTGAACTCGCTTGTGATGCGCTAATCGGTGAGGTTAGTTTATCACCAGACGAGAAGCTGGGTACTTTAAGGAGCGTTCTTTCAGTTTCCGCACTACCACCATTCTCCCCGCTATTCTGGTTGGATGGTTCCGCAACCGTGACAAGATCTTCTGATAAGGAATGTGTGGGCATATTGACCATCTGTAAGGCAAAAACCGTAGTCCTGCGAGCAACAACTCATACGAGACCTGAAACCTAGGCCTTAAAAGGATGTGAATGGAAAAGTATGGTAAGAGATCCTTGTAGTTGAGACAATTAGTCGATGTGCGTCAGAAAAAATGGAAGCTATTTTATGGAACACCAAAGGACAACCCAGTAATAAGTGAGGAGGTACCTTTAAGTGGCTGCTGCTGGCGCTAGTGACTTGCAGTAGACGATGGGTGAAGGCGGACTTTAGGTAGATGAGATCGGTGGCCAGGGAGATCGCATGAAGTTGGGCACGCACAAGGGGTACGCAAAAGCGCACGTGTGGGTTACGTACGCATACCCGAGCCGTCTCGATGGTGGTCGGAATTGAGGTGGCAGCGACCTGCCAGAGTCCAGCGCTTGCCACTGGCAACAGGCAGTGCACCCAGTGAATGTTGCACGTTGCCACATCAGGGCAACACGTTCGCAATAGATCTACCGTGTACCTCTAAAGGACACGTACAATGCTCTCATACTTAGACAACTGGACCCATTCATTGCTATCCAAATTGACAAAAGCTGCGGAACCATCCTGCTTAAACTCTTCTGAACGAAGCAGATGAACGATACCCGTCATTTTAGATTAAAATTCAAACGCAAATGTGCATGAAGTGAACTTAAGCACCGTAACGAGGTGCGAATTTCAGAACTTTAAAACGGTGTGCCAGGCTTAAAAGACTGATTCTATCAGTACCTCAACGTAAGTGAATATGTCAAACATAATAGGGAACCCCAAATCAAATCCAACATTAATTTAAATGAAATCCACTATTAACTGAGTACTTAAATTAGAAAATCTGTACTGTAAATAATGGATGCTTACCGTGTCAAGAATAAAAGACTCGACAAGTCCTGTGGTTGAAGACGCACTAAGGGTAGAGGCAGAAGCTCCCTCGTCCATGCAATCACCGATGCTTCTTAATAACGGCCTACAAGCGGTACATTTGCGTGTGTCAAAAGTAGTAAACTGATAACACAGAAAGTCTATTCAGCCATGCTCATGCGGGGAATTCAATTAACTGATATCCCGCAGGAGGCGCTTAACTAATATCCCGCCATTACAAGGGACACTAGAAGCCATCGGAACGCAAGCACTACTAGCACGTGTGTCTGACTAAAGATTGAGTTCATTTTCAAAGAAGTTAGCATTGAGTGAGTCGCGGAACTTGCGTGAAGGAGTAGTCACACAACAGATGCTAATAACTCATCTTCGTATTAAGAAAAATAATTGACTAGCTTAATTTCGACGTACACACACGCTAGGTATGGTAGAATGCAGGAATTAAACCGGATGCGCAATAGTCATCCCCACTGCTTCGACAAATGATGGCAGGTGTGTTTGTGTGTGTGCATATGTGCAATGTTCCATGCGCAGTCTACGCCGAACACCTGGGTAGCAGCCTAGCAACCCATAACCGCCTACGACACAGCTACGAATGCGTCCTGGCAAAACATTGCCTGAATATGCAAAGTAACCTGGAAATCCACATTTCGCTGCACACAGAGGCTTCGTCTAAATTTCACATTAGGTGCCACGAGTCGCCTTGAACAAATGGGCCAATGCTCACCGAACACCGTTTTGTGTTTTTAGGCAATCAATTTGAATTTGAGGTGCAAGAGTAGAAATAAAAGAATCGACCAAAATGGGGAAAAATGGAGGAGGAAAAGATGCTAACGTTGGACATCAGTCGCACCAAGTTACCAACTCCCTAAAAGTATCTCCCAACGCAGCTTACAGATTTGAACGTTGAAGAAGTTCTATAGTTGTCCGTGGATTATTCGAGTAATGACAGCTAGCTAGCCATGTCGAGGGGTGGTATTGGACCACGGCTGTAGCATTCCAGTGGTTCAACGAAAATGCTCCAGACCGGTGCAAACGTCGCAACAGCCGAGAGTCTAGGCATACCAAAGATGCAATCCCATTTAAAACTTCACGTCTCCAGCTAAAATCGTTAGTACAGCAAGCACTCAGTACCAACTTCCACAAATGGAACGTTTGATCTTCCACATTTCAAATAAGTAAGGAAAAGTAGTGGTTTTTGTTATGTTAGTGCAAAGTTGCCCAACCACTGGTCGAGTGAGAAAAGGTCAGTCACAAGTGTATACCTCAAACTGCATTGGCAAAATTTGCATGGGATGACTCCAAAGTTTCAATAATTGAGGAAGCATTATCAAATAGTGTCTTGAAGCGACGGACATTTTTGCATAAAAGGTGAAAACCTTCAAACGCTTATCGGCTACGCCACTTTATAAACGCTAAAGGGATGAATCTGTACGAACACTGCATGGAAGTGCAAATACAACTTGGCCTGGAAAAAGGGCGAACAAAAAAGGCTTAAGACGCATGCTTTCATTATTGGCAAGAAGTTACCTATAGCGAAAAGCGAGTTATTTGAGTGAAAGGTTAAGGTGAATGCAACTTTTGCCTTTATCCCTGTCAAAGTAAAATGGGTTTTGCAAAATTTAGTAATAGGCATCCCGGTTAGAAATAAGGGATATGACTGCAGCTAAAGTGTTTGGGTGGAATACCTGTGACATGAATCGAGAGAAATGAATGGTGGATGTCGTAACTGATGCACAAGCAATCATTTTACGTTTGCTGAGATTTGTAAGCATGTGCTATACCTACACCCATTTCCCTCCTATTTAGTCGGTCTATACACTTGAAGCAACAAAAACTGAGGCAGCAATCGCAGTAAATACCAGAAAGTACAACCATTCCACCAGTTTACAGGGGCATGTTACCTTCATATGACATGAACTCTACAAAACCGTCATACCCAAGCATATCGAGGTATAAAGCGAAGAAAAGAGAGGGAGAGGGACCATATATGAGTGGGTGTTAAGTCCATATGAAAAAGTCACAATAACCTTATATTCTGAGATCGCACCAAAATTACAAAACGAGTTTCATCTAGCTATCATCATCAAACAGAGGAGTGCCCGCAGATCAGTTTGAGGAGATGGTGTTACCTACCTCGTGAGACATGAATAAGTTTGTGTTTCACGTATTTCTGAGCGAGGAGACGAAGAAAGGTCTTCATGTCACCAGTGCGGAAGGCATAGTCGAGGAGCCACAGGAGACCAGCACTTACCACAGAGTCCGTTTTGCCATATTTCTCGACTGTCCAAGTGATGGAGGCCTCCTCATCTGACTGGGAGGACGTAGCACTGCAAGCTCGACTAGGAGAATCGCTACTTCTCAATAGCGTCAGTTGATGCTATAAATATATTTGCTGCGGAGATCAAAGGGTAAAGCAAATCCCTCGATCACAAAGAGTTAAACATAACAAAAGGGAATTTTCTTATTAATTCGTAAGCTTTATGCTTAAACACGAAAACTTTGTAAGGTTAGTGTCCATGCATCGCATTCGATTAAATAGTGAATTTGAAGAAATTTCAGGTACGAAAATTAATTAACAAAAAAGTGAACAAAATTTTTAACCTACGAATACAGCACCATTAATTATATAGTTCTCCTACTTACAAACAATAAAGCTTGGTGTGACAATAGGACCTAGTATTGTGGAATAACCTACAGGAGTGTCTGGTGAGTTGTCCAAAAACTCAACAAAGTCAGAATTTGTGCATCTGATATTGCCACTCTGGTCCTAAAAGGAAACAGCATGAATGCAAAAAACTAGCATCATAATAAGTCATGCAAATCGCAAACCTCTCAGTTCACTAATCAAGCAAATTTACGAGGTTGAACATGAGGCACAACTTACAGTAAGCAACCGCCTCATTCTCTCGACCAGTACTGCCTGTTGATATTAAATGACTCTGTCATCGCTTATAGGCATATAGAAAGCGCACTTGAGTTAAAGCAATCATACCCGTGGAAAGACATACACTGGATGCAAAAGAAGGTTGTTGGTGGAAATTACAGAGTAATTTTAAGATTGAGCAACTGAGCACATTCCCAAAAACCGTGACAACATCCACCAGAAATGAGGCTTTCAAAATATTATTTGAGCAGGATTCGTGGTTACAAAATGTTCATTCGTACCAAGGTTGATAGCAGAATGAAGAGCCACCTTATGGTAAAGCAGCATTTACGAAGCGCTGCAGCAAAGTAGTGCGCATTACAGGCGCAGACAAGTAGGTGATGAAGCATCTCTACAGTTCGTCCCGTAAAAAAAGACATTGACATGGTATGGTCATATGAGACAACAGCGATCTGTTACGCCTAGGTCAGTCGAGATACGCATCTTGATGCAGATTCACGAAATCGCGGTAAAATGAAAACTATGGAAATGCACACAAACATCAAAGGATTAAAATGTGTAGAGCTTGAGTTAAAAGAAAAAAAAATTTTCAGCGACAGAAATTCCTATCAAGACGCTTTAATTTCATGTCATTTCAAACCCTATTTATCAACGCAGGACAAGGTAGTAACGGAGCTCAAAGCATGGTTAATCCAGAGAGCTCGTCCAAAGAAAAACATCGCTCATACTCACTCATTGATAACGCAGTATGTCAAACTCTAATGTGAACAACTGGGATGAAATGCCATTTCACGGAATTCCAGTGAGCCAAATGGCGACGGAAACAGCGTGGAAGGAGAGTGCGCAAACACCGCTACGATGAGTGATGATGTCCAAAACAAGAAGATTATAGGCGGTGTCCAGTCAGTCAAAACTCCAACATGACCTTTTGCTTCCAAAACTTTTGGGACATTATTACACTAATGTCCAATGTTAAAGAAACTAAAATTTTCTGCAATCTATGAACTTTTGAGATCTGAACGCCAAATAATTGCTTACAGTTTTGCACAGTTAGATTAACCAGCTAAAACATCTGCACTGCATATCGACTCTATGGTGCGAGTAATTCGGATTCACTTGGTGTTTTTGAAGATTTACCGCTTGGCACTGGCAGTCGCGATAAAGTTTTAGAAGGCACTCGTTGGTGTAGTTGTACAGAAGATCTTCAAAACTTCCACCAGACATGCGACCACCGGCCTCAGGAGTCTGCAGACCGGGTGGATCGACCACCACCACACGTGCTGTCCGCCCGCGCAGATCCAAATCTAAGTTCGAGCGCAGTATCCCTCCCGATCCCGGGTTGAGGGCCCTATGATGCGAGAAGTAGACCGCGAGAGTAAAAATAAGACCTAATATCGACTTAAAATATCTTTGAAATTGAGCGACAAACACAGATTTTGAAAGAAGCCAAGCCTGGCAAAAAAACTCCGAATTTTGTAAGATCTTTGGACGTTGAGTCCAAACATCTGAACGATCATAATTTGCAGTGCTACGATAGCTTGTCAGACGAAAATATAACAATTGCAGGTAGATACAAAGGGTGAAAACCCAATAAAAAACCATTTTGTTCAATTTCGCATAAAATTGCCAATAGACTTCCGTTGAAATGACCATTAACTAAATGATGATCCGTTATTTGGAAGAGTACGCTGGGAAAACTTCACATCTTAATGCATGGCATTCGCGAAAAATAGTCTAAAATTTCCGAAAGACAAAAACCTACTCGTCTGTGCATGGACATAGGTGATCGCGTTGATCGAAAAGGCAGATAATGCTCAAAGCATTACCTACGGACGAGAAGGAATTGCACCACGCACACTAACTTCTGACAGGCTTTGCAAGCTTCCATGAAATAGCAACCGAATCTCGCAAAAGTACTCATCGACCTGCTGCTGAACTAAGTAAAGCACTTCTTCACATCACACTGACCGGATAGGAAAGCGCCAACTATTGTGCGGCGCTACAGATCTAATAATCACTATAAAAACGGATCTGCCTCTTCTTCTTGCCACTCATCATTGGTAAACATTCAATGTTTTACGCAATCGACTAGATGACCCATTGTCCCCAAAAATGATAAACGGTTGTTTGGGATAATCTGAAAAAAAAATATTTCAACTGAATAAAATGTCCTTCAACATTTTAACTCCGTAGTTGCTCCACACGTGAACATACAATGAGTAATTAATAGAACGCAAGAACAGGTGTTTTGTAACTTGTCACATCCGAGCTGCAAGTATCATTAGGCAGAAAGACAACAAATCCCTCACCGATAATTACACCGCCAATGGAACCAGCAGAAGAACACACCTGTTGATGAGGTCTCTCAGTGTATTCGTGGCAATGGCGTATAAGTTAGCGACAAAGCTCCCCAATAGTTCGAGGTTACTGGGACTCCGAGAAGAGGAGGAGTCGGTGTTAGTGGCAGTGGCGCCGAAGACATCGGAGGAAAGGCGCTCGACAGAGGCGCAACCGAGGAGACGTGCAGCACGCTCCGCAGCGTTGAGATTGATGAATCTACGAAAGGATGTGGACGTCGGTGTCGCTGCAGATCGAGATGGCGTAGCACCAGCGCAACCCAGGTGGTAAATGACTGCGAGGAGGCGACATACGCCATTCATGAAGGACTCCTCAAAATCGCGTCCCAGCACTCTCGCTGCCGTGCGCACCGCCTCCCAACGGGATTTAGCCAACGCCTGATCCTCCAGCTGCGTGGTAACAAACGCGATAAGATCTATCGGCGCTTCCCAGAATTGGCCACCTTGAAATCGAACTGAAAGAACCTCACACCAAGCACTCTCATTAGCACTAGTAAGGAACGAAATGGAGGGTGCATTGCAACTTGCAGCGTTATCACAGCCGCCGAAATTGAAGGAAGTAGGCATGATACCAATATTGTAAGTAATGGTGGGAAAGTAGTGAAAAAAATGCGTTTACTAGACAGGTAATAACGTCATTATGACTTCTGCTCTTTTTGCCTCACAATCAAATTTTACCATAAATTATGGGGTTCCAAAAAGCCTTTAAAAATATATTAATGTATATTATTGTTAGGCCTAACGTGTAAAAATGATGGTGTTCGTAATAGTTTGACCATAAAATGTAGCTACCTTCCCTTAAGGTATTTACCGTCAAGTGATTAATAACATCGACTCTCCATTCCACACACGACCTAACACCATTGGAAAGGCGCATTCCCACGGATTTTGCGACAGATTAATTTATACTGTTCAAGTTCAGTAGGACACCTGAGGTGCAAAGTTTCATCGCATATGATTTCATTATCCAAGACTTATTATTGTGAGAGAGTAAGTCATTCATAATCGAGAGCCGACGGGAGCAAGATAACATTTAAGCTACATCCACTGAAAAGACACTTATAAGATTATTCTCTTCATGATCGAGTCGAGCCCTGTGTTGCGGGATCCATTTTCCCAAAGTGTGCGTGCATGTATGGATCCATGTGGGAGTGTCACACAAAGGCGGCACGCACAACGGGATCGATGGATGGAGCATTCGACACTATCCAAACTACTAGCCGATTTTCAAATTCTTAATTCAAGTACAGCTATTTCCTGAGCGACGCACTTTCTCCGCGCATTTTAAATAGTACGAAACAAATAATTGCGCAGGTAATGGCTGCTGGTTAACTGGGTCACATCGCTTTTGCCTTTAAAAACTGGGATGCATTCAAAGACTAGAACTCGAAAGAATGAATAAGTTTACAGAAGTAACTGTCGTCGATAGCACTTAATTCTTCTGAAACGCAAATCAAAGTAAACGTCAAAGGTTGATTCAGTCAGTCTCTATGCTTCTGAGGCATCTAGCTCGTTAACTGCCTCAAGAAACACCCTCTGATCCTGACCCATTTGGACTCATATCAATGTAAAGTAATGGAAGCAAGTTTTGGGTTTGAACTCAGGCTAGGACAACGGTTTCAAAATCTAAGGTGAAAAATGATGAACGAACTCAAGCTTGAGTAGGCAAATCGGCCAAATAAACAGTGAAAAGTGGGAATGCTTAAAGATTTGGCTGCATTTATACACTTACTCTTTGGAGTGGTGTCATGAATAGGTTCGGAGAAGTGAGGTCCTGGAGTATCAATTCTGCCCTAAAACAGCATCGTAAAAAAATGGTTTTCTCATGCGACCTACCATAAGCTTTTAAGAAAATTGGTTTAGAATTTGTTACACACATTAAGTGCTATGCTTCGATTTGGTACTTCATAAGCAGTTCCCTGATGAATACCTGTAAGTAAACGTGTTTAGCACACAACTATGCAAGAGCGAGGAATTGAGATGCAAGTCAAGATAACTGTCTATTAATCGGAAACTGCTCATAAATATTTCCTTGCTCCATTCAAAGGCTGGAAGTAGTTTGGCGGCATGACCATTTCCTTTTTGCTGAACCAACAACCGCGAATTCCTATCAATTGCTGCAGAGTGCATTCACCTCTTTCACTTAGGTCAAAGCTAAAAGCGCTGTAAATTTAAGTTTTCTTCTGGCAATGTAGCTGTGACCAATGTCTATAGAAACCAAAACTTATCGCAGGTAGATCAGCAGAAAAGGTCCATAGGACCCTTTGCATTTCCAACAGTTGATTTATAGCTAACATGAAGAGGAGTGAATCTTCTTTGCATGTCACTACTTTGTTTATAATTTCTGAATCTCATGAGGCAAAAAACTTACTTTTGCATGGTGACTCACCGTACATCACATTCCAGCCCAGCCAAGAAGTAGTAGAATATGTGGAATGTAGGTTCACCCTGTGGACGACGTGTAACACGGAACTTATCCAAGAGCAAAATGTCAACAAAGAGACCCGAGGGGTTGAGATTTACACTGGAAGCATCCTTCCATTGGGCCAAGAACTCGACTGTAAAGAGTCGTAAGCAGCGACTAGCATTCGAGTTGAGAAGCGTCCTTGAGCATGTGAAGGCATCCAAGAGGCACATTACTGCGCGTACCTTTTGGGCTTTAAATTGACAGCATATGAGTACGACTTAGTAATTGTTTAGAGAAGGATCAATCAAAATACTGCTCTTAGTTACAGCAATGATGATTGTTTTGTTTTTATACGTTAAGCAAAGCATATACAGTGCTCGCAACTCCAAGACTGTGAGCAACAAACGATTCAAAGTAACGCCTCATGCGAATCGGGCGTTGTGCTCGCTTTAGTGTGTGACTGTCCCAAAGTTTTGCCTTAGATGACTCACAAAACAAACAAACGAACCGACACAAAAGGGATAAGGTATTGTTCTGACTACCATAACGCTGCCACCTCTATGCATTTCTACTTAGAAAAAGACCAAATCGCCACCAGTCAGAATCGGAAGCACCCATGCCATTGCTGTTGATAAACACAGTGTCTCAAAAGAGCATGACAACTTATGACTAACATAGAGACGAAAAGAGCATGAGTAGCATCAGTAACACCTTAATGAATCTCAAAATAATGAGCGCCTAAGTCCACTGAGCTGAGTAAACTACGTATGCATATCCAATGCAAAGTTCGCAACTAAACAAAGTTTACAACTTGATTCAATAAAACCTTCAAATTGCAAATGTCTACTATGCATCAAGAAAAAGACAATTCAGAAAATTGATGCGCATTTTAAGAAATGACGGTTTGACGATCTGTGCACATTGCCACATCGATAAAAGTAACCATGTACTAGGGTACCGCAGATTCAACGTAAATACAAGAGCTGAACGTTGCATGAAGTGCAAAATGCGAGAGGCGCACCGGTGAGTACGGATTCAGAGGGGCATTGGGAAAGAAGGTACTCGATAAGGTGCTCTGCGTTGACGGACTTGCCAGAACCTGAGCGGCCAAGAAAACAGACGGCCTGAGTGGGTACCTTGATGGTGGCTGCAGCCAGAGGGACGGTGGGGACACGGTTACGGTTAGCGATGCTGAGAGGGCAATCGGCATTTAATGCACCTGGAGGAGAATCTTCCCCTCTTTCCAAAAACAAGCCTTCCATACGAGCCAAAATAGTCTGTGCCACCGAGTAAATATGGGGCGGCATATCAAGGCGTTTTTGACACTTGAAAAAGAGGTGTTTCACCTTAAGAAATAAGGAGAATAAGTCAACCTTAGGCTTGACGTTAATTAGTTAGCCTATGTGGCGCACGATAATTCATAAAAGCTCTGTCAACCAAGACACCAATCATATTTTAATGCATCAAACAATCGGTAAGTTTTCCGTCGTCCGTTAATTTTGTGCCACCTCCTCGCAGTCTTGAAACACATCGACTAGGACTCAAGTGTCAGTATTTGGCATTCCAAGCTTTGCAGAGAGCGGAGATTTTAAAAGGCTGTAGGAGAAAATAAACGAATTCCGATCTTACCAATCACACTGAGAAGCTCTTCAACAGTGGAAGGAAAATCCATAAGTTATGGCGTAAAATCGTCCAGTTCGCAACGAATTGTAAATACGGTATTTGCGACTGAACATGAATTTTACATTCCCAAACACTAACGCTAGTAATGAAATAACTATTGCATGACGAAAAATGGCGAAAAGTACGATGAGTTAATCTAGAAAATTAATGTGCACTAAAGAGGGACCGAAGTAAAGCAAAAAAATGGCCCGGTAGGTAATAAGAAGGCATCAAAAATGCCAGTGAAGCCTTTGCACAACAAATAAGTGGATAGTGTAGAGTTCACGTGAGAATCCGGACTACAAACTGAACCAAAGTATGTGACAATGTTATGGAAAAATGCACTCACGACGTCGTTGTAGATGTCAAGGTTGCGCATAGGATTGAAGGCCAACAGAGCAAAGTCGCCAACGTATGTATAGGGCTGGGCATGGTGGACGCGGGCGTGAAGGTTGAACACCAGAGCCACTTCATTTAAGTGACGCAGTAACATCAAATCTTCCATGCCTTCCAATTCCTTGCTGTTCGCCTGGGTAAGAACCGACACGGACTCTTATCGGCAAATTCACTTCTCCAGCTAGCAGCCCTATCTAGCTTTACCATTCAATTTGTAAAGAGTTTTAAAAGGCACAATATAGAAACCGAAATTAATTGGGAGCCACAGAATCTATCACCCAAGCGAAGCCAAGCTGATCACTTTTAAACTAGTGCCGAAATAGGAAAAATTCAGCTGGCAGGAAGATATTCCCAAATAATGCAACGAATGTAAAACGGATCATTTCCATTTCCCTTTTGCCGAATGGTTCCGCATCTCCTACCACTTTCCAACATCGCAACCATACAATCCTAACGAGATTGGCGAAATCAAATGAGTCTTTCGAAACAGCGTCATTTACATTTTCGTCGAGATACTTGGTGAAGAAAGAATACCTGCTGAGTGAATAAGTCATGGCTGCAACGTTAATGGTTGTTCAATAATAGAATGACATTTTCTGATTACTTGACCATGTTCTAAGTTGGACCAAGCATGCCTATTAAGGGTAAAGTCGACGACCACCAAAGCACCACATTAGCGTACAGCTGCAGCGTGGCAATGGGACATTTTAAAAAAATGGCGGGACTGAGATTTCCGTAAATTTTGGAAATACAACAAAAGACGTTCCGCCTTTAAGACACAAAAATATTAAAATTTGTCTTTTTAAAAAAGGCTTTCACAGATTATTCCGTCTTCAGATCCGATCTGTAGCCAATCACTCCACAATGGACGAGTGCAATGGCGGCAGTTGTTTGCTAATAGCATCAGTGGAGTAAAGAAGTCTGATAAAAATTAATCAAGGATGCTTTCGATAAGTTTAGATGCGGTACTTAAGTATACATGCGAATATTTGATATGCTACCAGTAAAAATGCCAAAAACTTTCTCCAAAAGGCTAGGCAAAAGCATCAGGAATAGAAGCAAAGCACAATTGCAGACTGGAACTGTCGCGGAGAGATTTCACTACCATAAATTCATTACCACCATTTTTTAATTGGATGTTTGAGGTGAAGGCACTAGATGCATTTGAAGAAGTCTTTGGTGGTAATCGTGCCTGCAACCATCAATGACCAGACAGAGTTATACAAGGTCATCTCACTTGACTGCTAACACAGCCATCGCAAGCATACATTCTGTCCTCTCCATAAATTTATTGGCACTTTTTATTTAAATAAAATCGGATGAAGGAATGTTCACTAGTCTAATATTTTCTGGCAAAACACCATTTTAAGTACGGACAGGATATCGGTATCACCCAATATGCAAAACTTTTCGAATAGATGGTAATAATGAGTTGAAGAAAACGGGATACCCGTGTGGCTTGACCATTGACTGTACGATTCTACATGTAATGAAAAAATCCAGTATTATGCAAAATTTAACATGCACTCTGAAATAGCAAGCATAAGCTTTAGAAAAGAAGGAGTACCGAGTGTTAATGACGATTCCAATTTAATGAATTAGCAATAGTCTTTTACAACCCTTGAGTGAAAATTAAAATAAAAAAGCAAGCCTGAATATCACTCTCCACTAAGTTACCTTTAAAAAGACTTCAAAAGTGATGGAAAAAAATAGCAACAACTTTGATGTTGCCGAACATCGGCATGTTCCATTTGGCCCTCGGTTTGACGTTGGTCGAAATACGTACTAATCTCGGGGTAGCCAAATATTTGAGACGATTAAAGCATGAACTCGAAACTGAAGACTTCAGCTTTTGAGAGTGACAAATACAGGTTTGCCAGTTTTATATAGCAAGCACATCAATGCTATCAGGCAAACCTCGCCCCTTAGAGCTCTCAATACACGCGGTACTTAGTTGAGGTTGTCACTATCGGTTAGTTTTTACAGAATCATCAGAAATACTAAGTTGAACGTAAGAAAGCGGACGCACACATGAACCTAACCTTGAAACATTGGAAAAATCAAAATCCTTGTTTCAAATGAAAAAACTATCACATTGTTAAATATGTCATACTAAAATGGCACACCCGTTGTTTTTCCTTGACCTCCAAAACCGCGTCTAATAAAACAGCCCGCAGGGCACTTAAATCCGGGGTTAGTCTAAAACCAAAGAGCTGTATACAAGGTAGCGCTAAACAGAAAAGAGAACTGTGTCGAACAATTTAAACTGACGTGATTTCCGCAATTTACAGAGGCCCAAAACAAATTGAAAGTTAATGCTCTGAAATACAGGTTGAATTGGATATAAGATACTCGACATGAGGTCTTAGGATCACGCCAAAACCAGTTTAACACTATTAACACTATATATGTGCTCAATAACTAAACCTAGCAAGAGAATTTTCAAAGGCTACTAAGGTGGTGAGTCAAAGAAAAATATAGACTGGTTCGATTGGCTCCGAACAAGTACCACACAGTACACAGTAGGCATTTTAGAAACGCGAAAAAGGCATTTATAAAACACGAAATGGTAGCTATCATATACTATTAAAACGAACAAGGGATTCGTCTTAAGTCTGGTTGAGCATATATAAGATTCGAACTAGGTGAGAACTATATAGAAACACCAGGCAGAAAATTAACTGATGTGTTTGACAAATAAAGTTAAAATATAGCCATCAAAAACAATAAAAATCTTGAAAAAGAATCAAAGCTGTCAATATCATTTTTAGGGCAAAAGGTGACTGCTTAAACACCTATGCATTTTTTCATAACAGCTGCAAACTCAAGTTTTTTGGCATGAACTTACTCGGTTAATATCAGCCCAAGCTACACTCAGAAGTTGATTGTTGGGAAGCAGCCTAACTTGATAAAAGTCGTCAGGAAGGACCTCAGCAACCGTTCCTAACGAATAACCATCCCGATGGGTAATCAGAACGAGGTCGTCAATGCAGTACAATCCTTTTGAATCAGATGTAACAGCTCGTAATAAGTGCAGATAGAGCTACCAAAAGGAGTAAAACGCTTGTAATAAAGTGTTTTTAAGTCCGAATATAACTCAGTGTTATAGGTAAAATACGTGTCAAAAAGAAAACAGCAAAAAACCTCGTTAATTAAGTTGTTAATTCCGCTTAAGCTTCCCGTCCGTTTGATCCAGTTTCGAAGACAAATACGATTCGACTTGTAGTCTTTTTCACTAAATAAAGCCTCGTAACATAAAGAACGAGGATTGTTGGCACTGGTCACCGCATTCATTAACATTGTAAAACAAGACTTATCCACATGAATAGATCGCAAGGACCACTCCATGCTATCTTCAGAGGGAAACAGCACGATCCTTAACTCCGAAGGACCCTCAGGAGTCAGTTTGGCATTCATTTCATCAATGCTAAGCTGTTGAAAGTCCACACCATTCACTGACAAGACCATATCTCCAGGAAGAATTCCCAATGAAAAATCCGGGGAGTGAAATCTCAAAATGGCTCTCTAACAAAAAATTACCCACTGTCAGAATGAATAGACCTGCCAATATGATTCAAGAAATCAGTATCACAGGCATATCATGATCCTCACTTTAAGACTAGTACAAACAAGAGCATGAGCGGAACAAGTAGTGAATAAAAAATGAATCTCACAGATATAGCTAAAACAAGGCCGAAGCAGAAGGATGCATAAAATTGGTAGAAAAAGCATATAACAACGAAAAAAGATCAGGCGTACCTAGTCTTATATAGCGATGTAATTAAAAAAAAATACACATGAAGAACAACTTACATTGAGGAGGTCAAGATCAAAGCAAAATTCAGAGCGGCCTCCATGCACACTGTTGTCAATAAATACTTCATAGGAGTCTCCGCATTTCGAGGAAAATTCTGGAGAAGGAAACCTGGTCCTAGGACTATGGTTTCTTGGTGAACGGTACTCAGAGAGAGAACCGTTGCTTGAACTGAATGGATTACCTATTTAAAAGTGAACAACGGATTGTGTTTACCAAAAATTTGTTCATGTACGCGCTGAACAGCCTCTCTACTAATACTGTGAATGAATGTTGATCCCTGATTAAAGCTGGCTTCAGAAAAAGACATAATCAAAGACTATTACATTCCCATCAACGCAAAACCGTTGCGAAAGGAGCCAGCGACTCCTTCCCTCAACCTTGGGATGTTGAGGTCACACCAGTCCATATTAAAAATAAAAAATTCCGGTTATATTATTAACGGTACCAAAATATATATAAGGCATTTAGATACTTTCAATTAAGATATGCCGATTAAAATTTTAATTTTTTTTGCATTTTGTAAATTTAAGTTACATAGAGGGGAAAATTGTGCACGAAAAATAAAACACTTGATGTGCAAACTTTGTTGTAACGGCCCAAACTGAGAGCTGCAGTGAACCAACTTCGTAAAATAATTCAAAATTCCTCAATTAATACTATTAATTTCATTTATTTTTGTGAATTTTTTGCCTTGCATGTTATAAAAACCTTTTTTCGTGTGTTCTATCTGTCCAACTGAGAGTTTGCCTTATGCTAAATGTCTGTACCATATAGGTTAGCCCAGTTGGTGTCGAGTGATGGGAGGAGATGGCGGGAGTATACCTCGTAGGGTAGAGCTTGTGCGCAGTAAAAAAAAGAAGGAAAATGTGGGGAAAGTTGCCGTTGATGCAGCCAAGTGGAAGCATTGTGCACTTAGTCAACAGCCTCTTCGTCAACCTATAGTCGCTTGTCAACTCGGAAGGTCGGCTTAACCTCCTTATACGCCTTTTTCTATCCAGACCATAGCCTTTTATCACACTCTTTAATTTAGGCTTTACAACAAGGAGGCCATAATCGAGAAACTTTTGGATGAGTCAAAGTACACTAGTTCAGTCGCAAACCACATTAGAAAGTTGAGAGATGTCTGTGATCTTAAGCTAACACCCACTCCGAAGGAGCTACAAAGCCACGAGCTTTCCTCAGGTATAATCGAGAACTCTGCTGAAACATTCTGTTGCCCTATTCTGGGGCAGGAAATGAATGGGTCTTATCCGTTTGTTTTTTCCTGGGAGTGCGGTTGTGTCATTTCAAAAAGAGCATATGACGCGGTTAAGGATTCAAGCTGTCTTAACGTACGTTCCTCTATTCTTGCTCCAATTTTCTCACGCATTTATCTTTATTCCTATCAATGGAAGTTTGTATCGCACCAGATTACTTATTTTCACAGCGTTATTTTTTGTCATTGATTGTTAATTTGTTGTGTGTAGTGTGGGACGCCACTTAAACCAAACAGTATCATTCTTCTCAATCCCGAATCCGAAGAGGAGCTTAAAATAGCTCAAGACCGGCTTAAAGTCTTCAAGGAGTCTTGCAAAAAGGTATTGACTCTGTTGTTCATCCCACTTGCTCTGCTGCCGTTGCAGCCATATGCTGGCTGTACGCTTAGATCCTTCTCTGGTAATCTCTTTTAAGTAGCATCATCTTTACGCAATCTGTCCTACATTCCTTTATTGATGGGGTAAAGTAATGTCAGATGATTTATTTTCCCGTTTCCATTACACTATGCTTACTTGATACCATTTTTGCCGTAAGCGTTTGACCATCAACTGTCATCATTTCGGTGTCTCACATTTCTACAACTTGCCTTTTTTAATTCTCCAAGTGACCATTGTTGGTATTTGCTGACAATCGCCTCGAGAGAAGCTGATTTTTCCTATACAAGTTGCACTTCTCTACCTTCGGCGCCTTTTAAAATGCTTTTAGACCAGATCCAGTCATCTCAAGTTAACGGTTAAGCAGGAATCCCATGGTGGGATTAAAAAGGTGATTAATCCTTCCGTTGACCACTTTTATATTTTCCGGTTTACTTTACTTTACTTTAGATTGCGTTCCAATCTATAGTATTTTTATACACATTCATGGAAGATTTTCCTAAAAAGTATCAAAGTCGTTCGTGTCCGTATGAAATTTCAACCTCAGTTGTTTAGCCAATTTTTAAAGGTATGAATTGTTTAGGATTTAGCTGACATAGGAGGGAAGAGATCTTCCTCCTTTACAAATCTCGCCTTCATTGCATCCAAGAAGTCCAAAACAGAATTGAGGGACGAAGAGGTGGAGAAGAATGCTTCTGCTCCAGTCTATGCTTCCGTTCAGGACGATCCAAACGCTTCTTCTGCATTCAAGTCCCTCTTCACTACGTCCGAGGAGGCTCGTAGACAACCCAAGGCCCATTGGGTTACCTTCAATCCTCTATACTTCCGATGACTACTGCGCATGATGACTAAACTATACGCCCTTATTGTCTTGTTAAATATGCATATTCGTTCGTCGCACTAGATCCATCCATGGAATCTTAGACGTTAGCAATTGTTGCGGACTTTCTTGTGCACAGATCATGACGGTAGGTCACGCATTTTTTTTTAACCAAAGAGCATTTGAACTACTTTGAAATTTACAATTAAGAGGAGTAACAAATCTGAGTGTCGGGGTAGTCGGCTGAGCCGCATTAGCGGCTGCATACGAAGCGAGGATTAGTGACTGTTTGAATGCGCTTTGGAGGAGCCAATAGGCTGCAAATGACTCCACGTACAAGGCAGGAGAGTGATCATTCAAGCCTGGGTACAAAATGGGCATTGGAGTCGAACAATCTGACATGCTATCCGTTCATCTAGTGCCTTGGGATAACTTATCGATTGCTTCCTCCACAATATCGCATTTTTACTCTATAGCTGTCGCGAGGCGTAAAGGGTCTTTGTTGCATCCTGCGAAATGAACCTCAACATTTTGGGAACTTACTTTGCAATTTTTCTGAAGATTTCTGACCGGTATGATGATTTTCTGTCTACCCGTTTGTAATCACTATGGGGCGTGAACGTCGGTACTTAGTGTTTACTGGTGTTTGTCAATAGGCTTCGTGATCCTCACTCTTTGTTGCCTTCCTTGATGGTCCGTGCATTTGGTAATCGAACAAATTCTTCTGGCGACCTTGTTGTACTGCACTGCTACCATCGAATCGCATTTTATTTCCCTTTTAAGGTGTACTCGGACTATTTGTATGCTCCTTGTCGTTACACTTGTCCTCCTTGTAGTTCTTTTCCATTTTTGAGCTTCCGACAAGGTATGTGCAAACCTAGATACGCAGGTGTCATCCTTTTGAGATGGGGAATTGTGCGTTTAGAACAAAGCACTTCCACCACTCATTGCTGGAATTGTTGGAGGTCTGGTAAACGCTGTCGCGCACTGCATTCTCATTTACCACAGTAACATTGGTCTTATGTAAGGATCAAAATATACATTTGTGCGTCAGTATTCGCAATCGACTACCTCCTGGTTACCCTTTCGCCTACATTTTGGGGGGTCTGCAATCGCTCAGTCCATATGCTAATTTTTTTCAAGCTTGTTGTGTTTCGGTCTAAATCTTTGCCTCTAAAATATATCGTCACTCATGGAATGGTAAGTTTACCGTGTTCGAAATTGTATTCATCGGCATTGTGTTTTCTGCCGAAGAGTTTATTCAGTACTAAAGTAAACCTTATGCCTAAAATAGAGGTGGGTAGTAGCCCCAAAATGAATAGTAGCTCTTTCGCTTCTCTACCACTGGGCAGTCCAGCAAATGAAAATGGTAGGTACTAGTTCCGGATTCATGGCCTATTATGAGGCTAAAAAGGGGCATGGTTGCATCCTTTGGTGGGAATTCTTATTTCTAATTGCCAGGTCTTAATTGTTGAATTGTGATATGACTGGGGTCTATGATTTCGCCTCGGTGTCCCGGGTGTGGTAATGTTTAGACTCGAACGGTGTATTTTTGAGGCCGTGGGAGGACTCATCTGCGTCCCCGAGACGAGAGGCAGTAGGTCACTTCGGTTGCGTGGTCGTGTTTGTTTACACAAAGATGGAGGGAGAAGCCCAGTCACGGCAAGTCAGGTTTCGGCGCAGTGAAGATAAAAGCGCACTTTCAATTGTCCATACTACCGGACTGAAGCTTCGGCCAAAGGAGTAGATCCGCCAGCGTTAATTTGCCTATGGCTTCCTCTTTGGCGTCCCTGGTTTGTGGGGAAGTAGCTCTGCTCAATTGTTTACAGGTGATGATGGGCGTCGCACCACTCCATACTTTGAAGAGCATGTTGCGACCTCAAACTACCGTCCTGAAAGTAGGTGTTGAAAGTTGATGAAGCTGCCAATTCCCAGTTGGAGTGCGCTGATGATGCTAATTGGTGAGGCGATTTCAAAATATCGGCTGCTCTTGATTTGGACTGCAAAGAGAAGAGGTCAAGAGAGAGAGTCAAGACTAACTTACCTATGGTAGGGAGCAGATGGTCTCTTTCCCTACAAATTTGGACACCGTGTCACAACGTGATACCTTACTTTAGTGACCTATGAAATTGGAGACAGGAGTGGCCGTGCAAGAGGCGGTTCTAAGCACTGGTCGATGAATAGTGCATATCTGTGCACATGCGTCTACGTTAGCATTGTCACTGTTCGTTTATTGCATAGTGCATCATAACTGCAGCCGAGTACCGACAACATCTCCATGTAGAGGTGAGCTGCGCCTACCACATAGTTTGAGTGGCCGACATCGATCCTGGTAACTGTGATCCAATTGTTAGGTGGAAGCATGGCTTTCTCAGCTCACCAGTTCATTATCGAGTACAATTTCTCCAAGGCTGCTCTTGTCAGTACAGCTTACAAAACTGTTCAATGCTAGCAGGGGAGGCATGCAATTTCTTGGCATGTTGAGCTGCTAATTTTGTGCAGGTGGGGTTAAAACGGCCGAGTTCATGACGTTCAGTCCGTTTGTCGACCCATGACGTGTCGCACACGACCCTACCCTAACTTCAATGGGAAAGTCTTGATGCCAAAATGTATGCGCATATGCCGTGTGTGAAGGGGGTCAGGATCTGAAAATAGTCCAGTGGTGTTTCCTAAAAATCAATAGTCCTTCGTGGTTGGCAATGAGCAGTTGACTGTTTTGCGGGAAGAATGGGATTCTTTCGTCCTTTCAGCACTAAATGCAGAACGGTTTTGGAAGATTGCCTTCGGAGAATTGGATAGGTTTGCGCCCCACTCTTACGCGATTTGGCAGAGTTGCAGCAGTTGGGACGGGAGCAGTGGGGTGCAAATATTTGTTGGTGAAAACATCCTCAACATACGCGGAAAGCAAGAGGAAATTGAAGAATGATAAGAAAATGGCGCCACTGAGGCTGTACAAACACCGCGGCAAACTTTTATTTGAGCGACCTACGGCGTCCAATCCCATTCTCACACATATAACCAATCAGATGGCAGTGCACACTTCCCACAGGTAGCGTCTGGGGGTGGACGTGGCAGCCGTACCTGCATCCGCCGATTACTACCTCCGCAGACGTGACACTCATCGAGGAGGTGCTTCCCACTATTAATTGAAGGTAAAAGCGTTTGGAGATTGCGTGCAAATTTTCGCTAAGGCGTACACGCATATCTGTTCTACTATATGCAAATTGAGGCGCTTTAACGTTCATGTAAATGGATTCGCACGAATTATGCATTGGTTCATTTTCATTCATGGTAAAAGGCACTGCATTTTAAGTGTGTTTGTCATGAGGAGAATCGCAGCGAGGATGCTGACACAGAGTACTGCGTCTTGTTTCTTCGGCTTGGTCCTTTGTAGCGAATCGAAATTGGTCGTCACTGTCTGCCCATTTTAGATTTCAGTCCGTAGCTAAGATCGCAGTTAGGAATGCGTCGGCGATCAACCTCCAGTTAGATTAGTGCCATCGCTTGAAACATCCGTTGATCAATCTTTCCACCAATCAATGAAGTGTGATGATTCGAGCATGCAATCTGAGCAAATGGAATTGAGATTAGTTTTGGTACTGAGGCGTTATGTACTCAATTCATCCCATCCTAAGAGAGGAGGTGCTTCTACTGTCGCCTGTCTTAGCAGTTGTTTCGATATTGTCATTGCCTTCGATTTGCATTGTCACCACTTTTATCCGTGAAACAGGCTATGCTGATGAGCGATAAAGTGAAGAGGTTGGTTGGGATAAGGAGACTAGCATTTGACAGGCGTCTCGTGTTAATTCGTTAGAAAATCCACTGAAGTCGACTTATTCATTATCTGCTGTGCTGGTGTTTTAGGTTTTAATTTTCATTAATCTTCCATTCAGTTACCTTCGAATGCAGCATGGCAATCCCTTGATTACTGCACTGACTGGCTTATTTAACAACAAAAATCATGCAACTTTTAGACTTCAGAAGTGTAGAACCGTTTCGGCCAACCAAGTCATCACTCGCCCAATGGACTGGAATACAAATCTACAGGCACTCACCATCCATTCAACAGTTCAGGCGTGGTAGCCTTTTAAGGCGCGGCATTAAATTCATTTCATAGGGGAGGGATTGCCTTGAGCGATACAATATAAGCAATGAAAGGAAATGGACAGCTAAAGCCAAATAGGTCACCGGAGTTTGTTGTGCACCCACTGCAAATTTTCTAACTTTAAAACCCACTGATATGCGCCTCAGGCTCGTAGGTGCGTGTTGCACCTTACGAAACGAGGCAAGATGGTGTTTTAAGGGCGAGGTGTTCATGCCCTGCTTCAACAATTGCAGCTACTTTATAGCTAGTGGAAATGCAAATCGCCTGAAGTGGGACGACTGGTGTGCAACGAGATGTTATGTATGGAGATAGCGGGTTTACAAAATCCATCCTGACGAGACTTTGGTATTAACATGCGCGTTTTGATTTTATTTGTGGTGTGTAAAAACTTCTGCGAGACCGGAAGGCAAATCTACGCTGCTCGGTTGATAATTTTATTTAAAGGCGGCTGCATCATCTACATTAGCGGGAATGGCTGATTCATTGTTCCATATAGAGTGTCGATAGTATCAACGACCTGTGCA